ATAACAGTAAAGACAAAAGGCTAAGTGAAAGAAGTCAGATGTAGGGGCTGGCGCCATGGCTCACTTGATTAATCCTCCGCCTGCGGCGCTGGCATCCCATATGGGCGCCAGGTTCTAGTCCTGGTTGCTCCTCTTCCAGTCCAGCTCTCTGCTGTGGCCCGGGAGGGCAATGGAGGATGGCCCAGGTGCTTGGGCCCTGCACCCACATGGGAGACCAGGAGAAGCACCTGGCTCCTGGCTTTGGATCAGCTCAGCACCCGCCATAGTGGCCATTTTGGGGGGTGAACCAATGGAAGGAAGACCTTTCTCTCTGTCTCTCTCTCACTGTCTGTAACTCTACCTGTCAAATAATTTTTTTAAAAAATTAAAAAAAAAACACATGAGAGTGATGGCTATAAAAGTGGGTTAAGGGGGCAGCTCTGCAGCCCAGCGGGTAAAGCCACCGCCTCCAATGCCAGCATAGCGGAAAAAAAAAAAAAAAAAAAAAAGAAGTCAGATGTAAACAATTACATATTCTATGACTTCAGTGATAGGTCAAGTATCCCTTATCCAAAATGCTTGGGACCATAGTAACTGTTTCGGATTTCTAAACTTTTGGAGCTTGGGGTATTTGCACAGACATTATTGACAAAGCAGCCATCATCTAAAACTCGGAAATGCTTCAAAAATCTCAAACCTTTAGAGTGTCATGTCACCATCCCAAAAGCTTCAGATTTTGTATTTGGGGTTAGGAATGATCAGTCTGCACATGAGATGTGCAGAAAACACAAATGTATGGGCAGAAAGCAATCAGTGGTTGCCTGAGACTGGGAGCGGGCAGGCAATGAGAATTTGTCACCAATGGGTAGCAGGGATACTTTTGGGGAATAAAATGTTCTAGTGTTTGTAAAACCCTGCAAATGTACCACAAATCACTGAATTGCATACTTAAGACAAGTAACATTTTTGGTACACAAATAATATCTCAGTAAAGCTGTTAAGAAATTAGAAAGCTTGAGTTAGTCATTCGGGATTCCCACATTTCATGTTAGAGTGGCTGGGTTCAAGGCCCGTTTCTACTCCTGATTCCAGGTTCCTGCTAACGGGTACTCTGGTAGGCAGCAGGTGATGGCTCCAATAGTTAGGTCCCTGCCACCCACATAAAGACCTGGATTCCATTCCCAGCCCCAGTTGTTGCAGACATTCAGGCAGTAAACCAGCAGATGGGGGCAAATTCTCTGTCCTACCCTTCTCCCTTCCCTCTATTGGTTTCTCTTATCTCTAAAAAAAGAAAACAATGAACATATTATCTTCATGTAATAAGAGTCTACAGGCAGCCAAGTCCAGGGCAGTGTGTGTGTGTGTGTGTGTGTGTATCTGCAGTCATAACAGTCCCAGGCTTCTATCTTTGTCTCAGCTATCCCTAGCATAGGTACTTGCCCTCATGGTCACATGTCAACCTCCTTCATGGCCAGAAGAGGAAAAAGAGAAGAGGGTGAAAAAGACATTGGCCACTGCTACTTGGCTTTCTTACTAAGACCAAGTGTACCTGTTGCTCCATCCAGTGTAATATCAGATATATCCTGTCTCTGAGAACAGTATTTTAAATGGCTTTTTGAAGCAGGGAGATGGAATAGGGATCTCTATCCATTTCACACATCAACCTGGCATTGCAGTGCCTCTGTTAATGGTGTGCTCCCTCTGTGGAATTAAAATATATATATATATGAAAGCTGGTTGTGGCCCGCACCGTGGCTCACTAGGCTAATCCTCCGCCTGCGGCGCTGGCACACCGGGTTCTAGTCCCGGTTGGGGCGCCGGATTCTGTCCCGGTTGCTCCTCTTCCAGGCCAGCTCTCTGCTGTAGCCCGGGAAGGCAGTGGAGGATGGCCCAAGTCCTTGGGCCTTGCACCCGCATGGGAGACCAGGAGAAGCACCTGGCTCCCAGCTTCGGATTGGCATAGCGTGCTGGCCGTAGCGGACATTTTGGGGGTGAACGAATGGAAGGAAGATCTTTCTCTCTGTCTCTCTCACTGTCTAACTCTGCCGGGGAGGGGAGGGGAGGGGAGGGGAGGGAAGGGGAGGGGAGGAAAGCTGGTTGCAGGTAGGCAGGCTGCAGGAGCACTGGGTCATCCATTACTATCCCATCACTGGTCTGACAGTGCGACTGAGCCAATATGGAGCCTCTTCCATCACTTCCTCCTTGAAGCACCAATACTGCTCATAACAGGTGATGTGGTTCACACTGACAACTGTGCTCGGCTGGCAACTTTTAAGTGGCTTACAACTTTAGTAGTTTTTTTTTTTAATCTCCATTAAACAACGACTGAAATAATAAAATAATAAAATCTTGATTTATGCAGGAAAGCTACCTATCTCAAAAGAGGACTCCAAAGTCAAACTATAAAATTTGTTTACTGAATAAAACATATATTTATTCTTTACAAAATACCAAAATTGTAACAATGATAATCTTGATAATGAACAGCATTTAGTTTACTTAAGTGAGAGAAAACATCAGGTTGGCAAAACTGACACAATACTTTAGGACACAATGTCACAGTTTGTTTTTTTTCTAGTCATTGTTTTTTTCTAGTCACTCTGTGTAGTAGCCAGCTTTTTGCAACTATAACAAATTACTGGAGGAGGAAGGCTGCCTTCAGAAAGGAAAGAGGATTCTTTTGACTCATGGTCCTAGCGTCCACAATCCAAGACTGAGGGCCTCTCGGGTTCACCCGGTGACGGCTTTCTTGCTGGTGGAGTCCTGATGTGGCCTAGTCTATCACGTGGCAAGTGACAGGGCACGCACTTGTCTATGTGATCTCTGTCTCTCTTTATAAAGTCACCAGGATTCAAACTATGAGGGCTCTATGCTAACAAGCCAAGCCAAGCCAAGTCAAGCCAAGCCAAGCCAAGCCAATCCCTTCTCAAAGGCTTTCCCGCTCACATAACTGGGTTACATCTCTACCTTCTTGGTACAATTAGCATATGACTGGGGACTATATTAGTTCATGAGTTCAGGGGCAGATGCAGGAAATTCAAGCCACACCATTCTATCAGTCATTTCCTCCATGCCCACCTGGTCGCTGTGTTGCTTCCTTGCTGGTTTTTCTCCTTTCTGAGAAGGGGAGGAGGAAGAAGGTTTGTGCCTCCTCTCCCAGCGTGACCTCACAGCTCTGTCTGCCAAACCCCAGCAGCTGTCGTCCCTTCCACAGCTGGCGCTGCCGCAGTTACCCACAACTCACCCTCAGACTCCAGACGAGAAACCCTATCTGTCCTCTGGTGCCCTGCAGGGCTAATGCAGCTCCTGTCTGCTCCTGGACTGATGCAAATTTCCTACCAGCCCGAGAGCTGCCACATCACACGCTCCAATCAGTAGTCAACTGAAAGCAAAACAAAACGAAAACTTTATTCTCTCGAGAGTCATTCTATGTGATAATGACCATGTCCCTGCCTTTTTTCTCTACCCCAACCCAAGTCACAAAGCACATGAAAAGCCCTGTTTGTTACTACAATGGCACAGTCCAAAGAAGGGCCCTTCTAGCTTAGCTCAAGGTAGAGCTCCAAGTAGCAATGCGCGTTGATCTTGTTAAAGCAGAAAGCCCTGCACAATGAGTGCTTTCTCTGCCATCTGACCAGACTGTGGTTATTGCACTATATCAAAACAGCTGCTGACATGTGCATTGCAGGCTGCTGGAACAGTTTCATATTTGTATAACATGCACTTTCAAAACAATTGATTTGCTGAGTTTTCTTATTGCGAATACAATCAGGCTGATGGACCTGATACTTATAAGTGAAAGCAGTGGCTGAGGAAGGAGAAAGGTGAGCTGAGCAGCAGCTGGGCTCTTACGCAAGTGCTCACTAAGCGTGGAGGAGTTGGGTGCTTAGCACCCAGCCTTCACCCTCTGAGAGCACACCTCCATCTGGGGAGGAAGATGCACCTGGATGACTAGTTACAGGTGGGACAAGGGCTACAGAGAGTACTGTGGAACGCGGGTCAGCAAAGGCACAGGAAGCCTGCATACGTGATCTTAAAGTGACTTGGAGAGACTTCAAATTAAAGTCATTTAAAAAAAAATTTATTCATTTACTTACTTATTTGAAAGGCAGAGAGTATGGGCGCAGGGACAGAGATCTCCCACCTGCTGATTCAGTCCCCAAATGCCTGCAACAGTCAGGGCTTGGCCAAGTTGAAGCCAGGAGCTAATCCGGGTCTCCCACATGAGGGGCAGGAACCCAAATACTCAGGCCATCAATACTGTCTCCCATGTGTACATTACCAGGAAGCTGGATTACGGAGCAAAGCTGGCACTCAAATGTCCTAAGCAGTGTCTTAACCGCTGTACCTTTGCCCACCCCTATACTCATTTATTTTTTTTTTAATATTTTATTTATTTATTTGACAGGTAGAGTTACAGAAAATGAGAGGGAGAGACAGAGAGAAAGGTCTTCCTTCCGTTGGTTAACTCTCCAAATGGCTGCAATAGACTGGAGCTGCACCGATCTCAAGCCAGGAGCCAGGAGCTTCTTCCTAGTCTCTCACGTGGGTGCAGGGGCCCAAGGACTTGGGCCATCTTTTACTGCTTTCCCAGGCCATAGGAGAGAGATGGATTGGAAGAAGAGCAGCCAGGACTAGAACCGGCGCCCATATGGGATTCCAGCGCTGCAAGTGAAGGATTAACCTACTGTGCCATGGCACCAGCCCCTATTTTTTTTTTTAATATTTATTTTTAAATTATTTATTTGAAAGGCAGAGTTACAGAGAGAAGGAAAGATGGAGAGAGATCTTCCATCTGATGGTTCATTCCCCAAATGGCTGAAGCTAGGGGCCTGCAACTCCTTTGTGGTCTCCCATGTGGGGTTCCAGAGGCCCAAGCACTAGCAGCCAGGACTTGAATTGGCACCCATATGGGATGCTGGAGTCTCAGGTGGCAGCTTAACGCACTGTGCTGCAACACCAGCACCAACTCATTTATTCTTTTTTTTTTTTTTTATAATGTAAATGCAAACTTGGAAATCACAGGCAGAGTGGACAGTGAGAGAGAGAGAGAGACAGAGAGAAAGGTCTTCCTTTTGCCATTGGTTCACCCTCCAATGGCCGCTGCGGCCAGTGTATCGCACTGATCCAAAGCCAGGAGCCAGGTGCTTTTCCTGGTCTCCCAGGCGGGTGCAGGGCCCAAGGACTTGGGCCATCCTCCACTGCACTCCCGGGCCATAGCAGAGAGCTGGCCTGGAAGAGGGGCAACCGAATCCAGCGCCCCAACCGGGACTAGAACCCGGTGTGCCGGCACCGCAAGGCGGAGGATTAGCCTATTGAGCCACGGTGCTGGCCAACCAACTCATTTATTCTTTAAAGCAATTCCAGATGTTCTATTTTGCACACCTCATTGCATGTGAAGGTGACACAGCTATTGGAATCCCCATGTGAGAGGAGTTAAACCCAAGCCTTGAGATTGTAGATCTAATGCTTTGCTCAGACACTAGGGGTCAGCAGCCTTCCAAGAGTAGTGAGCGAAGCTAAGTCCAGTTCCTGGGAGCTGCCGGGGGTGGGTAGGGGCTGACCCTCAGGGCAGGCAGAGCTTCATAGGGACTGAAGTTGCTCTCCCAACCCCACTCTCCTTTAGTAGCAACCTGGACTTCTTTATTTAGAGACAGACCCTCAACCCTTGCAAAGCCCAGGTGTTTCTGGGAATGCTTGGCTGGCTGTGGGCTTGTGGTGCAGCCCAGGTTAATTTGCATTAACCTACCTCCCGGCTTCACAGACTAGCTCAGGGATAACCATAAGACCTTCTCTGAGCCAATGAGACCAGGGCAAATTTTCTAAAGATGACTGGAAAACTAGTTTCCTGGATCTTCTGAAAGACGCCCTGGAAGTGGCCTTTTCTCCTCTCTGCCTGGAGGGGAGGAAGAAATGTGAAGCCATGGTGATGAGGAGTTGTCTAGAAACCCACCAGGTATGTGGGGCGGGGAGGGGGAACAGCTATAAAATGAAGCTGACTGCAAAAACAGGGCAGAGAGGTTCAAACACAAAAGTCAGAGTGCACTTGGTGAAGTCCTACTGTGCCAATGAAACAAATAAACATCATAGCCTTTCCCAACCAGATTTTCCAGCTGTGGGAGCCAACGAACTTCAGTGGGAAGCGAGGCTGGGTTTGGCTCTCTGCGACCTGGACCTGAAGACACCCTAAGTGACACAAGAGGGGCCAAAGGTGGCAACTACAATCAAGCTCTGGAAAATGTGGATCCAAGCGGCCCACAACCTACCCTTGTGGTGTGTGGTGCCAGCTCACTCTGCAGACACCAAAGCTCTCCAGCAGGTAAGGAGCTCTGGACCCCCAACACTTGCCCTGGGAAGAGAAACAGGATGAAGAGGGCACTGAATACTCAAGGCCATGAAGCCCTTCCTAAGAACCGGTTCCACTTTTTGGCCGTGCCCTCAGTGGTGCAGCTATAATTTTAAGAAGACTTTGGTCGCAACTGTATTCCCCTCCCCTGGATGGATCAGGAGGCTCCCTGTCCCAGGCCTTTGAAAGCAGTGACCGGCACAGAACAGGCCTCCAGCTCTAGCTCTTTACAACTCACCTCCCTTACCAGCTCAGCTCTAAAGGGTTTCCAAATCCGCTCAGATCTAAAGCAGGGAGATTTCCTACAGCTCCTTGTAATGGGGCTTTACCTATAACTCAGGAAACAATCGGTGATAGCGTCAAGGGAGCCCCGGCAGAGTCATCCCTCTGTCGACGTTGCGTTCTGCATGTGAATGTTCAGCCAACTGCAGTTCAAAAATATTCAAAATATATATTGCATCTGCATTGAGCATGTACAGTTTTTTCCTTGTCATTATTTCCTAAACAATACAATATAGCAACTGTTGACACAGATTTACATTGTGTTAGATAGCAGAAATAATCTAGACATGATTTAAAGTATATTGGAGGGGGACCAGTGCTGTGGCATAGTAGGCTAAACCTCCGCCTGTGACGCCGGCATCCCATATGGGCACTGGTTCATGTCCCAGCAGTTCCTCTTCCGATCCACCTCTCTTCTTATGGCCTACGAAAGCAGTAGAAGATGGCCCAAGTGCTCGGGCTTCTGTACCCATGTGGAAGACCTGGAAGAAGTTCCTGGCCCCTGGCTTAAGATCGGCCCAGCTCCGGCCATTGCAGCAATTTGGGGCGTGATCCAAGGGATGGAAGAACTTTCTGTCTCTCCCTCTGTCTGTCTGGAACTCTAGCTCTCAAATAAGTAAATAAAAAATCTTTAAAAAAAGTATATGGGAGGATTGTATAGGTAATATGCAAATGCTATGCCATTGAAATTTAAACTTTTTTTTCAACTTTTATTTAATAAATAGAAATTTCCAAAGTACAATTTTTGGATTATAGCTGCTTTTCCCCCTATAACCTCCTTCCCACCTGCAACCATCCCATCTCCCACTCCCTCTCCCATCCCATTCTTCATCAAGATTCATTTTCAATTATCTTTATATACAGAAGATCAACTTACTATACTAAGTAAAGATTTCAACAGACTTCACCCACACAGACACACAAAGTACAGAGTACTGTTTGGGTAGTAGTTTTACTGTTAATTTGCATAGTAAAACACATTAAGGACAGAGGTCCTACATGGGGAGTAAGTACACAGTGACTCCCGTTGTTGATTTTTTTTTTTTTTTTGACAGGCAAAGTTAGACAGTGAGAGAGAGAGAGACAGACAGAAAGGTCTTCCTTCCGTTGGTTCACCCCACAAATGGCCACTACAGCCAGCGCGCTGTGCCAATCCAAAGCCAGGAGCCAGGTGCTTCCTCCTGAACTCCCATGCGGGTGCAGGGTCCAAGGACCTAGGCCATCCTCCACTGCCTTCCCGGGCCACAGCAGAGAGCTGGCCTGGAAGAGGAGCAACCGGAACAGAATCTGGCACCCCAACTGGGACTAGAACCCGGGGTGCCGGCAACGCAGGTGGAGGATTAGCCTAGTGAGCCACGGCGCCAGCCTCCCGTTGTTGATTTAACCATTGACACTCTTATTTATGGTGTCAGTAATCACCCCAGACTCTTGTCATGAGCTGCCAAGGCCATGGAAGCCTCTTGAGTTCACACACTCTGATCTTATTTAGATAAAGCCATAGTCAAAGTGGAAGTTCTCTCCTCCCTTCAGAGAAAGGTCCCTCCTTCTTTGATGGCCCATTCTTTCCGCTGGGATCTCACTCACGGAGATCTTTCTAAATGACAAACTTGAGCATCCATGGATGTTCGTATCCAACAGCAGGGGTTCCTGGAATCAATCCTCCTCAGACACCAAGGAATGCCTGCAAAACTCTAAGTACCAGGAAAAGTCAACTCTCCAATTTCTTTAGGTTATTACACAAAAAGAAACACAAAACAGATCCTTGCATTTTTTTAAGGTACAAGGCTATGGTGATAAAGAATACGGATTTTAGAGACCATGAGACCCAAGTCTAAATCTTGGCAAAGTTCCGTGAATTCATCCCTGAGCTTCTACATCTCTACAATGGGAGTGGACAAAGCTTCATTTCAGGTTGTGTCATGGCACACATAAGGGGGTTGGCATTCAAAAAAAAGTTGCTAGGATTATTGCTTCCATGCTCCTTGAGAGGAAGTGGCACTGTGGCCAAAGACAGCTGAGGAGCCACCAGCTCCCTACACATCCCCCATGTGCTCAGTTATTGATTTCCCAGGCATGACAAGATTCCCAGGGCGTACGTTGATGAAAGGCCGCAAGCATGTTGACATTTATGTCTGTTCTGCGGGATCTGCATGGCTGTGAGGGAGCTTAGACTTCCGTATGGAAGTCCTAAGTTGCTGAAAGTAATTGCAGGTCTGGAGTAGCAATTTATGAAAGATCTCATTCCACAGGCAGATCTTATTTGTAGCAAAGCAACGTGCAAAGCAGCAAATATAAAGGTTGATGGCTGTCTTTGTTTTTCTTTGCAAAGATGTGGGCTCCTATGGATTTTTATCATTCACTCAAAATCAGGTGTTCAGAGGAAGAGTTGAGGACCTACACCTAGGTGTGTGTTTCAGGACTTCTGTCCTAGACAAAGGACACACAGGGTACACTGGAACAGAAGCCGTCTCTGCACACCGCGGGGGTAACTCCTTTTCTTTCTTTCTACTGCAGTCTTTACCAGTTTCCCCCAGTGTCTGTCTTGCCCTTCTCCCCTACTGATAGAACCCCATCCCCACCCCGGACACACTCACACACTCACACACACACACACACACACACACATCCCTTTCGGTTGGGCTCTGGATACCTAGGATAATACTAAGCTTCTCTTACAACCACACAAGTGACTAACTTCTGACTAACCGTGTCTAAGCAGAGATGTCACAGGTGACTCCCATGGGTGTGGTAAAGGGAGTGGGGATGTGCTCTGGTCCTTCCTTTTCTCCTCCCTACAGGCTGAATCCTAACATGAGAGCAGCTGGCGCCATGAGGCAGAAAGCCGTGAACTAAGGATAAGAAGACAAAATAAAAACCAAAGACCAGCAACTTCAACCATCTTGAAACTGCCTCAAATCCCTGCCGTCCACTCCACATTTCTTTAATAACATGCATGATAAATGAAACGCTTTCTTGTCTGAATCATTAGCATTTGGGTTTTCTGTCATTCCCGGCAAAACTGAATCTGAATAGGTACATTGCTATACCCATCGTTTATGTTTTCTCCATTCTCTGTGACATCAGCACTGCAGTGTCTGTAACATGACAAGCCACTTACAAAAGGGGCATGGATTCATCAGTCATTCCCAGCATACTCCCCAAATCCCACTCCCATCCTACAGAATGAATTCCACTCGCAGTGCCGCATCAGAAAGGTCACCTTTCAAACACGGACAGGAAGAGATTTTTTTTAACCAGGCACAAAACTCCTTTGTTTATTTTTATAGAAAACTCTATCTATCTTAGAGGACTGCTTTCTCTTTCCTTAGCTGGCAGTTTTAGGAAACTAAGAATATTCTCTCTTGTTGCAAGTGACACAAATCTCTCATATGCCAACTCTCATCTGAAAGGAAGACACTTATAACTTGCAAGCATCAATGAGATGCAGTGTACTATAGAGGAAAGCCAGGACCTTAACAGTCAGACTTATAAACACTTTTGAAAAAGCCTCATTTTGAAAGTTAGAGAGAGAGAGAGAGAGAGAGAGAGAGAGAGAGAATCTTCCTAGTTCAATCCCCAGATAGCTAGAATGGCCAGCACTGGGCCAGGCTAAAGGGATGAGGTAGGAGCTGCACCTGGGTTTCCCATGTGGGTGGCAGAGGCCCAAACACTAGGGCCATCTTTTGCTGCTTTTCCCAGGCCATTAGCAGGGAACTGGATGAGCACTGGAGCAGCCGGGACATGAACTGGCACTCATATGGGATGCTGGCATCACAGACAGTGGCTTAACCTGCTACACCAGAAGGCTGCCGGCCCCCACCCCCAGCCTGTGCCCAGAGAATCCCAGTATTTTTTATTTTGCCATTTACTTGTAATGTGACCCTCAGAAGTCACTTAACCCTGTAGCATTTCAAGTTTCTTCATCTATAAAAGAAAACTTTATACAGCAGTTGCCCAAAATAAAATAAATAAATGAACTAACGTGCATTGCTCCCAGCATAGAACAGGTTCTTAGGTATCCTAACAACAAAAAAGTTGTCTTTGCACATTTAAAAAGATTTTCATGTATTAATTGAGAGAGAGAGAGAAAGATAGAAGAGAGAGAGAAAGAAATTCCCATCTTCTCAAATGCTTGCAACAGCCAGGGCTGGGGAGGGGGGGGACTGGACTGGGAACTCAATCCAGGACCCCCAGGTGGGTGACAGGAACTCTGTTACTTGACCCATCACTGCTGCCCCCACAGTGTGTGCACTAGCAGAAAGCAGGAACCAGGAGCTGGAGCCAGAAACTGAACCCAGGTCCTCTGATGTGGGACAGACACATCATAATTGCTCTGTTAAACTCCCATCCTTGTACTTTTGTTGGATTTCAGGTTGGCAGAACTCATTTTAATAAGTTTTTGTCTCTAAAACTTACAAATAGTCATAGTGACTTTCATGACTTAAGACTTAGCATCTTCAACTGCTCATCAGGCTCATGACAATAACAGTGGGAGGCCGGTGCCACAGCTCAATAGGCTAATCCTCCGCCTAGCGGCACTGGCACACCAGGTTCTAGTCCCAGTCGGGGCGCCGGATTCTGTCCCGGTTGCCCCTCTTCCAGGCCAGCTCTCTGCTGTGGCCCGGGAGTGCAGTGGAGGATGGCCCAAGTGCTTGGGCCCTGCACCCCATGGGAGACCAGGAGAAGCACCTGGCTCCTGCCTTCGGATCAGTGTGGTGCACCAGCCGCAGCAGCCATTGGAGGGTGAACCAACGGCAAAGAAAGACCTTTCTCTCTGTCTGTGTCTCTCACTGTCCACTCTGCCTGTCAAAAAAAAAAAAAAAAAAAAAAAAAATAACAGTGGGATCACGGATAGCGATGATAGCAATTACAACTGTGGTGCACTGCATGATTATCAGTGTCAGACATTGCACCAAATCCTTTATTATCATTACTTTATTAAAACCTGTTTTTCTACATTCTCAAGATTTTTTAAGCTATATCTAAAAACAAGAAAGTGATTTTAAGGAGGTATGTGTCAAAGAAATTTATAAAATTATGATATATAACAAATATAGAATTATTATTGACTGGATAGATAAGTTGAAAAAATACCCTAATTTTTAGGAAGCAAAACTTCTTAATCATAAGAGATTTTAAAAATTACTCCTTTTAAAAACGTGTGTTAAATTTTAAACGTAACCAAAAACTCTATGATGCCAAAACAGAGGCACATATTTATGAAACTGCTCCCTAAAGAAGTGATAATATGTCTTTACATACTGGTTTTCCTTCTTATCTACCTTACACAGAATGGAGTATTTGACTCAGGGAAAAACAAGTTTCTGAAAATACCTAAGAAAAATATATGACACACTTCTAGGTAGCTGATTTGCAGGTTTACTTATAAGTAAATGTTTATGTTCCAGAACATGCATTTGTAAGCTGAATGGAATTCAAAGTTTTCCCCCTCATATAAACAACTGTTATCACCCCCAACGGAAAATTCATCCTCATCTACAACCCTTATGTATATGCTCATTGTTTAATATCACCTTAAAAATATCACTATAGATGCTTATTTTTTAAGATGCCTTTTCAATAAATGCAAGAAAATGTTGGCCAATTTTGAGTCACTCTCATTAGAAGGAATAAGGGACTAGTCGATGGCCATACCGCCCTGAACGCGCCCAATCTCGTCTGACCTCGGAAGCTAAGCAGGGTTGGCCTGGTTAGTACTTGGCTGAGAGAAGGAACTAGGGCCTAAAGAACCCAGGATGGGGGAGCGCAAAGGGAAGGGAAGCAGATGCCAGAGCAGAGACTTTTCACAGGACAATCTTGAAAGTGATCAGGGGAGGCGGGTGCCGTGGCTCACTAGGCTAATCCTTCGCCTGCGGCGCCAGCACCCAGGTTCTAGTCCCAGTTGGGGCACTGGTTCTGTCCCGGTTGCTCCTCTTCCAGTTCAGCTCTCTGTTGTGGCCCGGGAAGGCAATGGAGGATGGCCCAAGGGCTTGGGCCCTGCACACGCATGGGAGACCAGGAGGAAGCACCTGGCTCCTGGCTTCGGATTGGCGCAGCGCGGCAGCCACAGCATGCCGGCCGTAGCGCCCATTTGGGGGGTGAACCAATGGAAAAGGAACACCTTTCTCTCTCTCGCTATCTCTCCCTCTCACTGTCTAACTCTGCCAGTCCAAAAAAAAAAAAAAAAAAAAAGTGATTGGGGAGAATCTACTTCACAGATGATTAAAAACTACAGATTTTTTGAAATGGACTCAGTTGTCAAGATTTTAAAATAGCAATTTCTGGAGCTGGCACTGTGGCACAGCAGATTAAAGCCCCAGCCTGCAGTGTAGGCATCCCATATGGGTGCCAGTTTGAATCCTGGCTGCTCCACTTCCCATCCAGCTCCCTGCTAACATGCCTGAGAAAGCAGTGGAGATGGCCCAAGTCCTTGGGCCCCTGCAACTATGTGGGAGACCCGGAAGCTCCTGGCTCCTGGCTTAAGACCAGCTCAGCAACAGCCATTGCAGCCATCTGGGGAGTGAACTAGCAGATTGAAGACCTCTCTCTCTTTCTGTATCTCTCTCTCTCTTGGTAATTCTTTCAAATAAATAAACAGCAATTTTCACAGAAAAGTCCAGTGTTTTCAGCACTGCACAAACAGCTGCTCATGCACAGTGCCACCCGGTGCCCTCAGACAGAGTCCACTCTGCTTTCTGCTGTTGGGGCATCCTTATTTTTTTTAACTTTAATAAATATAAATTTCCAAAGTACAGCTTATGGATTACAATGGCTCCCCCCCACCGCCATAGCTTCCCTCCCACCCGCAACCCTCCCATCTCCCACTCCCTCTCCCATTCCATTCACATCAAGATTCATTTTTAATTATCTTTATATACAGAAGATCAATTTAGCATATATTAAGTAAAGATTTCAACAGTTTGCACCCACACAGAAACACAAAGTGTAAAATACTGTTTGAGTACTAGTTATAGCATTAAATCACAATGTACAGCACATTAAGGACAAAGATCCCACATGAGGAGTAAGTGCACAGTGACTCCTGTTGTTGACTTAACAATTTGACACTCTTGTTTACGGCGTCAGTAATTACCCTAGGCTCTTGTCATGAGTTTCCAAGGCTATGGAAGCCTTTTGAGTTCGCCGACTCCAATCTTTTTTTTTTTTTTTTTGACAGGCAGAGTGGACAGTGAGAGAGAGAGAGACAGAGAGAAAGGTCTTCCTTTTGCCGTTGGTTCACCCTCCAATGGCCACCACGGCCGGCGCACTGTGGCCTGCACATCACACTGATCCAAAGCCAGGAACCAGGTGCTTCTCCTGGTCTCCCATGCGGGTGCAGGGCCCAAGCACTTGGGCCATCCTCTACTGCACTCCCTGGCCACAGCAGAGAGCTGGCCTGGAAGAGGGGCAACCGGGACAGAATTCGGCGCCCCGACTGGGACTAGAACCCGGTGTGCCGGGGCCGCAAGGAAGATTATTAGCCTATTGAGCCACGGCGCCGGCCTAAGCCGACTCCGATCAAGGTCATAGTCAAAGTGGAAGTTCTCTCCTCCCTTCAGAGAAAGGTACCTCCTTCTTTGATTACCCATTCTTTCCACTGGGATCTCACTCGCGGAGATCTTTTATTTTTTTTTTTATTTTTTTATTTTTTTTCCCCCAGAGTGTCTTGGCTTCCCATGCCTAAAATATTCTCATAGACTCTTCAGCCAGATCCAAATGCCTTAAGGGCTGATTCTGAGGCCAGAGTGCTGTTTAGGACATCTGCCATTCTATGAGTTTGCTGTGTATCTCGCTTCCCATGTTGGATCGTTCTCTCCCTTTTTTATTCTATCAGTTAGTATTGGCAGAAACTAGTCTTGTTTATGTGATCCCTTTGACTTAGTCCTATCATTATGATCAACTGTGAACTGAAATTGATCACTTGGACTAATGAGATGGCATTGGTACATGCCACCTTGATGGGATTGAATTGGAATCCCCTTAGGGCCTCCTTATTTAGAAGTCTGCCAGGGCCGACGCTGTGGCATAGCGGGTAAAGCTGTTGTCTGCAGTGCAGGCATCCCACAGGGGCGCCAGTTCAATTTCCTGGTTCTCCACTTCACATCCAGCTCCCTTAATGCACCTTGGAAAGCAGTGGAAGATGACTCAATACTTGGCTCCCTGCACCCATATGGGAGACCCAGAAGAAGCTCCTGGCTCCTGACTTCAGCCTGGCTCTGCCTTGGCTGTTGGAGCCACTTAAGGAGGAAACCAGTGAATGGAAGACCTCTCTCCTTGTCTCTCCCTCTCTCTGTAACGCTGACTTTCAAATAAATAAATCTCTAAAAAAAAGACAAACAAGAAAGTCTGCCTGGGCTAGATTTAAGGCATAGAAATTTGCATATGTGAATTCGAAGCCTTTGAACTTGCACACATACCTGTGCAAGTATAAAAATGAAAGTGCATGCAACTGCAGGTCACAGGCCTCCAGCAACAAAAGAAAAATATGGCACAGTTCAACTCTCCTGTCATGGGACCCTGGCAGCATACCAGTGGGCTGAGACTACAGGGTGGAATCACGGCCACACAGCTTCAGAGCAAAACCCAAAGTGCTCCTTTCACAGTTCATCTTCCAGCACCAGGTACCATCTGTGTAACATAAAACCAATAATGACATTCTGCGCCTGTAGGTGTCTGAGTGTGACCCCGGCTTTGAGCAGGTCTGAATCAGGCTCCTTCCCGCATCCATCAGTGGGGGCTCCTGGAACAGATCAAAGTCTGCGCCCACTGTGCTTTGAGGTGGCGAGGAAGCTTGAACTGCATAAAAATATGACTTTGTGCCAGGTGCAGTGCCACATCCTCTGTAATCCTCCGTGTGCTGATTTCACAGAGGAAGAACTGAGGCTCAGAAAGTTGAAGTAATCTGCTGAGGGTTAGGCTTCAAGTTCAAGTCCACGAACCCCAAGGTCTGCGTTCTTCCTACTGTGCCATGAGATGGCCCTTAACCCTCCTTTCCCATGAGGGCAGATCAGGCTGCATACCCTTGACAGGTCTGCCTCTGTTAGTTCCGGATGGAATTTGCTGGTGGTTGCCCCAGACTGCATACACACACACAGCAGTCAGGCCCCTTGAACACCAGCATCCAGGAACTGCCCCACCCAGGCTCTCTTTCCATTGCCCAACCCTTCTCATCTGCATATGCGGGGTCAGAAGGGGAGGGTAACTGGGTAGGACACTCCAGGAACTCAGCAACTGGCCTTCTAAAAAAAGGCTCAAGAAATCAAGAAAATGATTTCAAAAATCACCTTCTCTTTAGTTTCTGGATCATTCTAATTCCAAAGCTGAGATTCATTAATTTGTTGACAGACAGCTAGGTACAGAAAACCACAGTAGGCCTCTGGAAAAAATAAGCTTTTTGTGCTGTTCCAAAAATGGAGTAAATGATGATGATGATGATGATGGTGGTAAAAAATAATTTATCTTTTTATCTTGAGGGTAAGTACTGTTTATACATCCATTTTGTAGATAGAGAAATTGAGGCACAGAAGGTCAAGTAATTTGCTCAAAGTCACACAGCTAGAAGACACAGAAAGAACTAGAACCAGCAGGTGCCTCAGCTCACTAGGCTAATCCTCCGCCTGCGGCGCCGGCACTCCAGGTTCTAGTCTCGGTTGGGGCGCCGGATTCTGTCCCGGTTGCTTCTCTTCCAGTCCAGCTCTCTGCTGTGGCCTGGGAAGGCAGTAGAGGATGGCCCAAGTCCTTGGGCCCTGCACCCGCATGGGAGACTAGGAGGAAGTATCTGGCTCCTGGCTTCAGATCAGCACAGCAGGCCATAGTGGCCATTTGTGGGGTGAACCAACGGAAGGAAGACCTTTCTGTCTGTGTCTCTCTCTCTCTCACTGTCTAACTCTGCCTGTCAAAAAAAAAAAAAAAAAAAAAAAAAAAAAAAGAACTAGAATCATCCAGCTGATTCCAAAACTTGCTTTCATCACCTTGCACTTCCAGTTTTCTAGAGTCTATAATCCTAATGTAAATGACACTTCTAAGTAGATTTTTATTTAAAAAAAAAAAAGTTTGCAAGGTCGGCGCTGTGGCATAGTAGGTTAAGCCTCCACCTGAAGTATCAGAATCCCATATAGGTGCCAGTTTGTGTCTTGGCTGCTCTTCCAATCCAGCTCTCTGCTATGGCCTGGGAAAGCAGTGGAAGATGGCCCAAGTGCTTGGGCCCCTGCACCTGCGTGGGAGACCTGGAAGAAGCTCCTGGCTCCTGGCTCTGGATCTGCATAGCTCCCGGCTGTTGCAGCCATCTGGGGAGTGAACCAGTGGATGGAAGACTTCTCTCTCTGTCTCTCCTTCTGTCTGCTGTAACTCTGCCTCTCAATAAATAAATAAAACCTTTAAAAAAACATTTTGTTTCAAAATGTAACACAAAATTAGTCTAATGACATTTCAGTAATAACTTCTATAAATGTGCTGTTTACAATAAGACACTTCATGAAATCAATATTATGTTTAATTCCTTTCAAAAACAAGAATGGGAAGGAATAAAGAACAAACTTAAGATTTAGGAAATTACAAATGTCTGCAAATTCAAACCTAAGGGCAGCTAATAAAGCCACACTTTACAATGAACTACCAGATATTGCTAGCAACAGGGTTAAATATTCAGGCTCAAAAGCATGCAATGACATAATCAACCTACCAATACCAGCCTACAGAAATGAGTCGTATCATTGCCTCCCGCTATCTTAGAGGAACTAAAATGATCCCTTTTTGCTAAATGTAACTTTAAAGCTGAATAAGGAGATCTGAATCGCTTAAGCAACAGAAAGTTCAAGAACAAAGACCACAGGAAAAATGGAATAATTCACTAGCTGGTCATTTAGGTCCTTGTTCCAACGAGATGACATCATCTGAAAGACAGACACTGCGGGGGTTATCCAGAACGTGTCAGTCTCCCTCCCTGACATACAACATGGCTGGTTTTAATTTTTATCTCCCTTTCATGGTTTTTGACCTTGGTACTCTCGATGAATGATTATTACATCATTTCTCCATGGTCAATGTCAGGTTTCTCTGTCATCAGAGTATTTAATAAATCAATACTTTGCTATAGTACAATGGCTCTCAACTCTTTGCACTGAAACTTGTGTCCTGAACCAAAACTTCAAATCACTTTTTGATTTTTATCATTACTTAGCAAGTGTCACAGAAAGGGGAGGAGACAGAGCTATGCTGATGGCTTTCTCTCTGTTCTCCACAGATGTCCCATGGCATTACCCCAGTCATGCTGTTTACACGTCTGCTTAACCCCTGGGGAAGCGTGGACAGATGGGTGCACAACTACTCCTCCCTGACAGTTCTCCTTTGCAAGAAATGTGTATCAGGGGCTGGTGTGGTGGTATAATGGATAATGCTGCTGCCTGCAGTGCCAGCATCCCATATGGGCGCTGGTTCAAGTCCCAGCTGCTCCACTTCCAATCCAGCTCTCTGCTGTGGCCCAAGTGCTTGGTCCCTGTACCCGCATGGGAGACCCAGAAGAAGCTCCTGGCTCCTGGCTTCAGATTGGTGGCACTTCGGCAGCTAGTGGATGGAAGACCTCTCTCTCTCTCTCTCTCTCTGACAGCTAGTGGATGGAAGACCTCTCTCTCTCTCTCTCTCTCTTTCTCTCTCTGCCTCTCTGTAACTCTTCGACTCTCTGAGTTCCAACTGGTCCCTTCATGCCAACCAGCAACCCAGCCTCCTCTCTGATTCCCCAATGCTCCCTGCCATACAGGTGCTGATAATTCACAGGCATGCCTCTATCCTTCTCTCTCCGCCACCAATCTTGGCTCAGGTGTCTTCACTAGGACCGTTACCTCCTGCTAGATGCTCTTATGCTACCACCAGACCCTGCCACCCCTGCCTACTCCTTTCATTCATTTTCTACAGTGTGTCCACAGTAATCATCCTGAAGACCTAAAGGTGGCCTGCAGAGGCTCTACCCAAGTCCAAGACTCCAGCACAACACACCAGGTCCCTATGAGCCGTCTGTCGCTTGCATCCTTGTCTGTGGCTCAGACGTTAGTTTTCCTATATTCAAATAGTTTGCTTCATTTAGAATTCAAATTGCTGGGCTCTAACCTCAGGGATATTTAAAAATTTTAATTTATGTTTATTTTTTACTTATCTGAAAGGCAGAGAGGCAGAGCAGAGAGATTTTCCATCCACTGGTTCATTCCCTAAAGGCCAGCAGCACCCAGGGCTGGGTCAAGGCCAAAGCAAGAACTGGAAACTCAATACATGTCTCCCACACAGCAGCAGGGACCAGGCACTTGAGCCATCACTTGCTGCCTCCCAAGGTAAGCAGCAGCAGGAAGCTGGAATTGAAAGTGGAGACAGGACTTGAACCAGGCACTTTGACATGCGATGTGGGTGGCCCAAGCAGTCTATTAACTGCTTTGCCAAACATCCAGCCTAACCTCAGTGATTCTACCTCATTTTGCCTGGAAGGAGGCCTGGAATTGGCACATCAAATTTTTTCTAAAAAAGATTTATTGATTTATTTGAAAGGCAGAGTTACACAGAGAAAGGAGAGGCAGAAGGAGAGAGAGAGAGAGGTCTTCCATCCCACGGTTCACTCCCCAATTGGCCACAACAGCCGGAGCTGTGCCGATCCGAAGCCAGGAGCCAGGAGCTTCTTCTAGGTCTCCCACGTGGGTACAGGGACCCAAGCACTTGGACCATCTTCCTCTGCTTTCCCAGACCACAGCAGAGAGCTGGATAGGAAGTGGAGCAGCCGGGACTAGAACCAGCACCCATATGGGATGCCAGTGCTTCAGGCCAGGGTGTTAACCCGCTGCGCCACAGCACTGGCCCCGGCACATCAAATGTTTTCAATACACACTGGATGCAGCCAAACCCCAGAGAAACACTATTCCGCGGCTCTCTCTCACCATCAGCTTTCCTCAACACAACCTACTTCACGGCTCAGGGTACCCAGTGCATCCTGCCCTCCTGTGCCTCCACAATTCACTATGTGCTGTCTCCTTTGCCCGGAATGTCTCCCACAGCCTCCTGATAAATTCTTACTATTTTCTGAGACCCACCTCCAGATGCTCCTCTGACCTGGTTAAATGACGTGAATCCTTCATTTGGTTCCCCTCTGAGCCTACTGCATACTTTATCTCCCAATCCTGACTGTTTGCCACTTAGACACCCACCTCTGCCCCCTAACCCCTGAGATATCTTGGGTACTTAGCATCTGCAAGCCAGCAATAGTCAGGTGTTCATACTATCCTAGAAGTTTTATCCATGGGGAAATGAAACAGGCAGAGAGATTAAGCAAATTTCCAAAGACTGCATGGTGCTGGAGCTGGCATCAGCCCCCAAGCAGGCTAGCTCATGCCCACATTCTTAACCATCAGAAATCTATCTTCCCTACAAGGAAAAGAGCTGGCTGAAGAAGGAAGAGAAGTTTGTGGAGCTGCCAAGTGGCCAAGTTTGGTTCTATTCTACTCAAAGGTCACAGTCTAGCTGAGTGCAGCAGAACTGGGGCTGAAGTAGGGTCAGCCAAGGGACTTACTGACTCTGTCTATGTCCCAGCTCTAGAGAACTGGTCACACCTCCTTTGCTGAGCCCTTGACTTCTGCCACATTTTCTTATACCTAATCATTCTACTTCACTTCTACAAGACAGAACTCGGCACCACTTCCACTGTGATAGATGTCAACCACTCCCTTCCACAGACCAATTTAACCAGAATATTTGGGGGGGGGGGGTAGGTCCCAGGCACTGGTACTCTCAAGAGGGTACCATCTAGGGCTGGCACTGTGGCACAGGTTAATCCTCCACCTGCGATGCCAGCATCCCATGTCAGTGCCGGTTCTAGTCCCAGCTGCTTCTCTTCCAATCCAGCTCTCTGCTGTGGCCTGGAAAGCAGTAGAAGATGGCTCAAGTCCTTGGGCTCCTGCACCCATGTGGGAGACCCAGGAGAAGCTCCTGGCTCCTGGCTTTGGATGGGTGCAGCTCTGGCCATTGCAGTCAACTGGGGAGTGAACCAGCAGATGGAAGACCTTTCTCTCTGTCCCTCTCACTGTCTGTAATTCTACCTCTCAAATAAATAAATAAAATCATAAAAAAAGAGGGTACCATCTCATGGCCACCCATCATCATCCCAATAAGCAAGTGGAGTTGAGATCTGCTGCCAGGAGCTTGTTCCCCCTCTTAGGCAGCTTCCTGAATCTCTTAGTCATTGTTCTGGCGAGATCCACCATTTTAGTATAATCCCATTTGTTGGCCTCTCACAGAAGTCCTGAACTGCTTTTGTGTGATTAAGGACCCCTTTCTCTCGATGATATTTTCACAAGCATGGTAAAAACCAATGGATTACAAAGAGAATCAATTTTATTGGAATACAACTATACTGACCACTGGGGTGGGTTATTTGACCTTGAGCTGGAGATCAAGATTCCAGTCTTTTTGAGTCCAGTGACCCAATACCCCTTAGTGCTCAATAAATACTTGCTGGAGGAAGAATTTCAAGAAGAAGCCATAGCTACTACTCCTTGCTGAGAACCATTGTTTAGTAACAGGAAAGTGCCCTACCAGAGGGAAACTTCAACAGTGCATCAATTTCAGAGCTGGTAAGATTCAAATACTATGCAATCTACCCTGTCCTCCCTCCCCCACTCCCTCCCTTCCTATATTCTTTCCTTCCATTTGAAAGGCAGAGTGGCAGCGAGGCAGAGAGAGAAAGCTCCCTTTCACTGGTTCACTCTGGGCCAGGCTGAAGCCAGAAGCACAGAACTCAAGCTAGGTCTTCCATGTGCATGGCAGGGACTCATGTACTTGAGCCATCACCTGCTGCCTCCCAGGGTTCATATTAGCAAGAAGCTAGAATCAGAAACAGAACTCTGACTTGAATCTAGACCCTCTGATATGGGAACCCAAGTGTGCTAATAAGCATGTTAACCATTGTGCCAAATGCCTATCCCCATGCGATCTGTGTCTGAAGCAAGTTCCTAAGGCATTGGAAATTTTAAGTTGGTAAGAGTTTTGTAAAAAAAAAAAATCAGTAAAATTAAAATTCTGAACTTGGTATTTTGACCTCCAGTTTTTAAACACTATTCTCCTCTTGCCTATTAGAAACTGTAGAGAAAGGAAGCTTGGCTGACACAAAAGTTTTCTGTACTCAAATGCAAAAAGTGGGGGGATTTGAATTTCTCTTGCTGTGACAGAGTACTGCTCCCCCCTGTCCCCAGACCATGTCTATGACCTAATCCCATGTACCTGTGACTATATTACATTACACGGCAATCAGGACTTCGTGGGTTAGATTAAGGTTCTGGAGATGAGGAGAGTATCCTGGATTATAAAACTGGCCTCAGTGTAATTACATGGGTGAGTATAAAACAGGGGTGGGGAACGCCCAGCCCTTCGTCTTTATAAGGCATGCAAAATCGTTTGGTCTGGCCTTGCCTAGGCAACTGCAGGCAGGACTCAAAATTCAATAAATCTATAGCAGGCTAATTTCTAAGTTGGCAATTTTGTGTTGCCTGTGAACGATGCTATAACTATCCAAGTGGCCCCTGGCAGAAAAAAAGGTTCCCACCCCTGTTGTAAAAGGAAAGCAGGAGAGCCTAGGAGATGGAACACAAAAGCAGAAATCGGGAGTGATGTGGGCCATGCTGTGGTTTGAACGTGTGCCCCAGATTCCACGAGTCGGGAACTTGGTCCCCAGTGCAGCGATGTAGAGAGATGGAAACTTTGGGAAGTGACTGGGTCATCAGTTCATTCATGGGCTAATGGATTAGCAGGGTTGCTTGCTCTATCTCACCACCACATTAGGATGCATCAAGCAGCCCTCCCCAGCCCATTCCATGCCCTTGGACTTCCAGCCTCCAGAACCATGGGCTAAAAAAACCTTTACAAATGGTCCAATCTTAGGTACTTTATTATAACAATAAAAAAATGGAGTAAGACAGATCATGAATGATCCCAGGGATGCAGACAGTCTCTGGGCCCTGGAAAAGTTCACAGCACATGCTCTCCTTCAGGGCCTCCAGAAGCAATCAACCCTGACAACAACTTGACTTCAGCCCTGTAAAACCACTGCAGACTTCTGGCCTCCAGAACTATGGGCTGTTTTAGGCCACCAAGCTGGTGGTAAAATATTATACCAGCCACTGGAAACTAGTATATGTTCCTATATTCAGTAAGTAATGGAATGGGTAAGAGATACAATGTAATAAATGGCTTTATCTTTATTTCACTACTTTTGACTGGATGTATGTTGGCTCCACCTAGGGAGTTTAGCTACAGACAACAGATGGAGAGATAGATAGGCAGATCACACACTCGCAATGGCAGGGTCCAAAATGAATCTCAGGGTAAAGGAGAGATGCCTTGGATATGAATAGGTAAAAAGTTCTCAAGAACTATGGCAGATGGGCAGGTGTAAGGACCAACTCCATACTAACAAAAGCAGGGTAAGTTACTTCCAAGTCTTCTTCTATGCTATTTATAAGTCTTCTCATCCATCCTTAGAAGACCACTGTAACTCGAGGAAACAACAAACACGGAAAGGAGACAAGCAAAGGGAATAAAACAGTTTGCCTAAGGTTGTGGCCAAATTTCTGTTTAGTTAAAAACAGAATCCTAATTCCTTTTAATAATTTCTCTTTTTTTTAAGATTTGTTTATTTATCTGAAGTAAGAGAGAAGGAGAGGCAGAGAGAGCCAGAGTGAGAGAGAGAGAGAGAGAGGTCTTCCATCCACTGGTTCACTCTCCAATTAGCTACAACGGCCAGAGCTGCACCAATCCAAAGTCAGGAGCCAGGAGCCAGAGCCATCTTCCACTCTGCCATAGCAGAGAGCTGGATTGGAAGTAGAGCAGCTGGGACTTGAACCAGTGCCCATATGGGATGGTGGCACTGGAGGTGGTGGCTTTACCCACTATGCCACAGTGCCAGCCCCTTAATAATTTCAATTCACTAGAACGGAACACATCTCCCCATCCAACCCCACACCAAATCTCCATTATGATGAACTGGCTATCAACCTACAAGTAAATATAAAAAAACAAAGGCCTGAAAAATGATTAAAGTACTTGAATTATTTTTTAAATTATCTTACAAAAACTTTATAAATGACAAGCCAATCACCTCAAATCCTTCTGAGAGCAAGGAACTGTATAGATCCAAAACAAATAATTTTAAAATAAACAAGCCTCTCTAGGCCAATAACTAAAAACCAATAAATTAAAATGCTAGCTACATGAATGAAATACAAACATCTAAGCTTGCATTGGGGAGTAGCAATTAAAACCACTGTCTGCAGCACCAGCTTTCCGTGTGGGTGCCACTTTGAGTCCTGTCTGCCCATTTCCACAAATGGCCTGGGAAAGCAGCAGAAGATGGCCCAAGTCCCTGGGCCCCTGCACCCAAGCTCTTGGCTCCTGGTTTCTGCCTGGCCCAGCCCCAGTCACTGCAGCTATTTAGGGAGTGAATCAGTGGATGGAAGATCTGTCTCTCCCTCTCTCTCTGTAACTCTGCCTTTCAAATAAATTAATTTTTAAGAAAAGAACCTCTCTCAAAAAAAAAATTTTAAGTTTAATAGTGTCTAGAAAGTTTACCAAAACTATGACTGCTTATCAAAATGACAATAAAAATAACATGATATACTTAATGAAGCAGTTCCAGAATGGTGTCAAGTGCTTTACCACACATGGGAACTTCAAAAGTTCACAGGAAATAGAATGAAAAGCTAACTTTATTTTGGCACAAATTTTTGTACCTTACCACATCACTAGTAGTGCACAAACACTTCATTACTAGCATCTAGACTCATGTTGGAGACGAAGACATCGAGCTCAACAGGGTAAGTAGCTTTGAACGGACAAAGCTGGAACTCAAAGCCAAGTCTGTCCTATGCCCAAAGCCAAGCTCTTCCCCACCACCCAGCTCTCCTCTGCCTCCACATCTTTGAGACACAGCCTGGCATTTGATAGGCCTTAATAAAGGCTTATTGAACAGTGCTGAAGACAATACAAGGACAACCCTATCCGTACCAACTCCATCATCTCTAGAAATGAACAAAGGAATTGTAGCAAAAAGATGCCCATGGAATTTTAATCTTTAGAAGAAAATGAAACCATTTTGTTAAGGCACAGGATCGACATACAGATAAGAATAGCTATTATGAGGGTGCAGTTTCACGCCCAAACATGGACACAAGTTTTTGAAATATCTCAAAATCTAAATGAGAGATATTACACGGCGTCCCATTCTCTGGGAACTGTAATATTCGATAGCAATCTATCCTGTGGGATTTAAAAGCGAGCTGAGGTTTTTCTTTTCCTCATTAATCTACAAGTACCTCCCAGTAACGACTGGGGAAGACTCTGTAGGGTAACTGAAACAGATTAATAGGCTCCCTCCTTGCCTTTGTAAATAAGAGCCTCTGTCACTAACACCCCTTCCCCCGAGACACTTTGTATGGAAGGAAGAGCTATGGGCCTCTGCTCCGTGCCACCGAGCTTGTGCAAGGGACATTTCCCAGGCTCCTCTGTCGCCTGGCGCCCTGCTGGATCTGCCCGGTGGGGGACACCAGCAGAGGACTGGCCTGTGGGAAGGGAGGAAGGATGTGCCTGGTGAGGTCCAGGCCCTGTGGACACCCCAGCAGCTGCACAGGGCGCGTGTGGCAGGGCAACCTTCCTGTGATGGGACTCAGACTGGGATGCCACGGGAGGCACCTCCCAGGAAGGAGCTGGCACTGTCACCTCTGCCCTTTGCTACCTCAGTCCTAGGGGTGTGGCTGCCTCTTGCAGCTCCGAGGCTCTTGGTTAGCTCAGCGTCCACGTCTTGCTCTCTGAGTCTTCCTTCCCTGTACAGCCAATTCCTTGTATCCAAACTGCTCCCTGAAATTCTTAGCATGGTCTGTTTGTTGTCTGGAGCTTGGACTGCCATGACAACAAGACTGGAAGGTTAAATAGGAGAATGCACCTCCCTTATACCACACAGCTGAGTTTGATGCAAATCTACTTGTTATTGTGCTAGACTGGCCCTCCTTGTCCTCTTCCAGCATCTTGAGGACAATAAAGTCGTGGGAGTTCCAAGGCCACTACATTCTCATGTCTAAGGATGTTTATTCAATTGTCTTTCACAAGAAGTTGAATGCAGGGGTGTGTGGCATAACAGGTAAAGCTGCCGCCTGAGGCGCCGGCATCCCATATGGGCACTGGTTCAAGTCCCGGCTGCTCCACTTCCAATCCAGCTCTCTGCTAGGGCCTGGGAAAGCAGTAGAAGATGGCTCAAGTCCTTGGGTCCCTACACCCTGTGGGAGACACAGAGGTAGCTCCTGGCTCCTGGCTTCAGATTGGTACAGCTCTGGCTGTTGCAGCCAACTGGGGAGTGAACCAGCAGATGGAAGACCTCTCTCTCTCTGCCTCTCCTTCTCAACTCTGACATTCAAATAAATAAAGAAATCTTAAAAAAAAAAAAAGAAGAAGAAGAAGAAGAAGAAGAAGAAGAAGAAGAAGAAGAAGAAGTTGTTGTTCAATGCAAGCAAGGTGTGGAGTCAATGTGGATTCAGCCCACATTCTGATTTTTCAGAACTAGTTTTATTCAAAAGGCCAAAATTGGGGTAGCATGTGGTACAGAGGATGAAGCCACCCCTTATGACACTGGCATACTATACTGGTTCAAGTCTGGGCTGATCTGCTTCCGATTCAGCTTCCTACTCATGTGCCTGGGAAGGCAACAGAAGATGGCCCAAGTCCTTGGGTCCCTGTACTCCTGGCTTCAGTCTGGTCCAGCCCTGGCTGTTGTGGTCATTTGGGGAGTGAACCAGTAGACGGAAAACACCTCTCTCTCTCTCTTTAATTTTGCCTTTCAAATAAATAAATATTTTTTAAAAAGATTCTTAAAAAAGAAGATCCAAACCAATAATATATACAAAATATTTTTGTAACACAATTTGGTTCAATGGTTTTTATTTAGAAGCTTTGTTCTTAATATAAAACCTTCAAATAGCACACACAGTCAGAAAGCCAAAGCTTAGTGGGAAAAAATGCCTTCTAAATGAACACAAGAAGTTTTCAAAATATGATATGTACAAATGTTTTTCCAAAGTCAAGTGCCCTCAATGTATAAAGATGCAAACAATGTTTTATAGGGAGATTGTAACTTCACTCAAATTCTACCTAAGAAAGGAAACCCAACCTGGAAAGAATATAGGCTCACTTATTCTCATGCTGCCCAAGCTCCCCTTTCAAACAAACAGTGTATGTTACACCTAACAAAAAGTTTTTATACAGACTAACTTTTAATGATACGCTAAAAGCATTGCCAGTCTCTGTGGACTTTGAGCCCTACACTGGGTAAGGTCTGCAGAGCAGAGAGAAGCATTCTTCAGATTAGTCCAAGTTGAGCCTCCCCACTTCAAGCATCCATTCCCCAAGCAATGTCCTCATCATAATCCAGAGAGAACAGACTTTGGCAGTGGGCAATGAGCATCTGACCCTCCCTGTGGTGGGAGCGATGGCAGCAAACAGATCCCCAACTCCTTTGGACTGTAGCATCCCATCGAGCTGCCCAGGGCACACGGTCCACCTAACACTGATAGGATTATTCTGCTTACTGGGGTGGTTTTAGTTCTTTTATAAATTAATCAATTTGGATTGACATTTTACACAGCACCGTACTCTTGGTTGATTTGGGCCACCTATCAGAAATAAAACAGTCCTTAGAATCACAAGATCAGTTTCTGAGTCATGAAGTTAGGGGACAGACCCTGGATTAAACAGACCAGTGGTTCTCCAAGTGTGGTCTCTGGACCAGTAGCATTTGCATCATCTGGGACGTGTCAGAAACGTCACACCCTAGACCTCCTGAATCACTGGGCCAGGAGGTGGTGGGGAGCAACAATCTGTGTTTAGCAAATGTTCCAGGAGATTTTGACACATGCTCAAATTCGAGAGCCACTAAACACTGAACGGACACAGTGGTTTGGAGATGAGGGAGGGAATACAAGTGATGGTTAACTTTATGTATCAACTTGGCTAGGTCAAGATGCACAGTTGCTTTGGTCAAATAGCAGGCTGGACATGGCTGCGATGGTACTTTCCTGATGTGGATTAACATTTACATCTGTTAACTTTGAGGAAAGCAGATTAATCTCTAGAAAGTGGGTCAGTCTCATCCTATCAATTGAAGACAAGAGCAAAGACTGAGTCCCCTGAAGAGGAATGAACTCTGCTTCCAGACGGCCTCTGGACTCAAGACAGCAACAGCACTCACTGGAATTTCCAAGCCTGCCCACCTAGACTTGCCAGCCCCATACAACCGCATGAGCCAATTCCTTAAAATAAATTTCTTCCTCTATACACACACACACACACACACACATTCTAGTGATGCTGTTGCTCTGAAGCACCCTAACTCTTACGGGGTGAGGAGGGTTCACAGGTTTAATACATGTGTCCCACATTAAGAGGAAGATTTTACATGTGGGGTGTTTTTCTTTTCCCCAGCATGTGTGCTCAGTGCCTACTATACAGCAGATAAACTCTCTATAAACTCTGGATGAATGAATGAACTATGGTAAACTCACTGAGAAAGGGAAGTGGATAACTTGACCCTGAGACAGGCCAATGGAAAATGGTTCACCTTGAAGGATACCCCCAATAAATTCCTGTGGGCAATAAACCTATCATAGGAATGTTCTAGAGTGTATGGATGAATCAGGAGGAAATCACACTCAGGACCTGTGATATCTTTGTGTTTAATGTCTTACAAGAGAAGACTGCTTGACATTCAGCAAGTCATTCTGAAGCTGTTGGTCCCAGCCCCAGAACCCACTGTTTTCAGTGCAATGACTACCTCTTGTCATTTCCATTAAGCTTAGTTTGTCTCTAGAAAAAGCATTTACAGTAGATTCTTACCAGTATGCTATTTTTCTGGAAAGAGTAAAATTGAAAATATAGTGTCAAATAGTATCTTTTTTAGGTCTGCCCCAAGACAGTAATCTAAGAATGTGCTTCCTTGAAAAGGGCACAGAATTCACAGATGTTCCAGTTACACTCAACAGGGGTCAGCTAACTGGGAGCAAAGTCAGGGCTGTCTCCAGACTGCAGGGACTGTGCTGACACCTAACACCACTGAAAGTGGGCCAAAAGTCATCTCGATCAGATTATTTTAAAGCGTTCTGGGATGGTAACTCTAGTTGCCACACACAATCAGAAAATGTAAACATGCCTCAGTTAACTTTCTTCATTCCTTCGACCTAAGCCTAAGTCAGGGTTCTTTGAAACTATGACAGGTGTTTGGTGCTGGCTGGCCAAATTCAGGCTCAGAAGAGGGGAACTGGTGCAAACATAGTAGATGGCCAAAAAGGGGGACTCCACGTGTGTATTCTCAGTACAGAAGTCAGCCCTTAGGCTGAATTTTCAAAAGCCCTGTTAAAACCAAAAAGCAGTTCTCCCAGAAGAAAAAAAAAGCTAAGAATCTGTTTGTTGGATTTGTTCTCCAATCATATATATATATATATGTATAACATACATAACATATACACATATATATGTATAACATGTATATAACATACATGTGTGTGTGTGTGAGCAAAGGGATTCATTATTTCAGTAGGAATCCATTCAGCTCACTGAGCGCTTCCCAGCAGCAGGCTCTGGGCAGGACCCAGGTAAGGCTGACCACCACTCCTCATCCAGAGAAGGAACACACGGGATTCAGCAGGTGTGTGTGAGATATGCGGGGGTAAATAGTATTGAAAAAGCAGAGGGAAATCACTCAGCAGCATCTAATGTTTACAAAGACAACCAAAACCCAGCAAAATGCACAGGAGGGCAGGCACAGGTTCCCACTCCACATCACACCACTAGAGAGCTACTCTGCAATAGATCTTGAACTATGGCACTGTGGATGTGGAATTCTAACTCAGCCACTTCCTAGCTGCGTGAAAGTCACTACATCGTCCTAGGTCTTGTTGCTCTCAATCGTTTTACTGAAAAAATGGATACACACTGTGTTCCTTGGTACAGGATCAGAACCAAAGTCAATCCCCAACAAGCCTTCTCTACGGCAGTCAACACCAAAGCTAGTCAGTCGCACACCTATCCACACTCCCTTTGCAGGCTGTGTCTGCTTGGGAGTTTTTTTCCTTTTTTTTTTTTTTTTTTTTTTTACAGGCAGAGTTAGTGAGAGAGAGAGAGAGAGAGAGACAGAGAGAAAGATCTTCCTTTTCCATTGGTTCACCCCCAAGTGGCTGCTACGGCCGGTGTGCTGCGCCAATCTGAAGCCAGGAGCCAGGTGCTTCCTCCTGGTCTCCCATGCGTGTGCAGGGCCCAAGCACTTGGGCCATCCTCCACTGCCTTCCCAGGCCACAGCAGAGAGCTGGACTGGAAGAAGAGCAACTGGGACAGAATCCGGCACCCCAACCAGGACTAGAACCCGGTGTGCTGGTGCCGCAGGCGGAGGATTAGCCTAGTGAGCCATGGCGCCAGCCCGAAAGTTTTTTTCCTTCAAAACTTACCTCAAGGGGCTGGCACTGTGGCACAGCAGGTAAAGCTTCTGCCTGGAAAGTCAGTATCCCACATGAACACTGGTTTGAGTCCTGGCTGATTCACTTCCTATCCTGTTCCGATCCAGCTCCGTGCTAATGTTTCTGGGAAAGCAGCGGAAGATGGCCCAAGCACCCCTGCCTTCCAGGTGGGAGACCCAGCTGAGTTCCAGATTCCTGGCTTCGGCCTGGTCCAGCCCTGCCTGTTGCAGTCATTTGGGAGTGAACCAGCAAGTAGATCTCTCTCTCTCTCTCTCTCTCTCTCTCTAAGATTTACTTATTTGAAAGGCAGAATGGCACAGAGATTTTTCATCCTCTGGTTCACTTCCCAAATGGCTGCAAGAGCTAGAGCTGAGCCACGCTGAAGCCAGGAACCTGGAACTCCAATGGGGTCTCCCACATGGGTGGCAGGGGCCCAAGCACTTGGGCCATCTTCTGTTACTTTCCCAGGTGCATTAGCAGACAGCTGGGTCAGAAGTGGAGTAGCTGGGACTAAGTGCCCATATGGGATGCTGGTGTCACAGATGGCAACATTACCCTCTGCGCTTCAATGCCAGTCCCTCAAATAAATGTATCTTTAAAAAATCTGACCTCAATGCTCCCTTTAGTTTTTACAAAAATTTGGGGTTTTTCAAAAGAAAGGGATCATTCACTTATCTGTATTTTTTCTTGTGCACCAAGACCCCAAAGAAGAGTCTGCGCACTGTTACTGGCCCAGCTGAGGGTTAATTCTGCTGACGCCCACCCCCACACATGCACACTTAACTCAGACGTCTCTGAGTCAGTTCTGTGCTTCTGACTGAAAGTGAGGAACTAAAGCATGATTTATGACCATTGCTTCTCATCACATGTCAGCTGCACCAAATGCATTTCTCAGCGCATTTCCTGGGGAAGACAGACTCATGGACATTTAAGGGAAAGAAAAGAACTTTCATAGGCATGCAAATGCCTCTTAGAGGGATTAGACAACTCAAATCCACAGGGATCCCCTTCTGGTTAACCCTGAGTCATCTGAGAAGTATCTTTTAATTACACTACACCTTGACGAGGGTGATACAGATGCTTAGACGACTGTTATAAAAAGAGAGTTCGAGCCAATTTAGAGGTTAGGAAATGTCCATAAAATTTTGCTGGAATAAAAAGCGGACTTTAAAGCTGACTTTATTTGCTAAACAGGAGATCCATGCTGAAATCTTTCTGACTTACATAGAATAATCAGATTTGGCTTCATTTTGTCTATAAACAGAAAGGGACAGCTGGTGAGTGAGTCTTCCAGGTATCTGTTGCAGAGTTTAAAAGTCTTAGAATAAAAATAATTAGATCTTATATTAAGCCTTATTAACAGCAAAGAATGCAATGATGATTATTTTCTTTCAGAAAGGAAGCAAAACATCTAATTTTCCCTTTCAGAGAGACAGACATGACCAAGTGCATATTTTAAACGGTCAGACTCTGGAAAAAGAAATGCACATATGACAAAGACACAGAAGATGTGCTGAAATTTCCCAAATATTTGTGTCCCAGAAATAAACCTGATGATTTCGACCAATTTGTTTCACATAAACCAAGCAGCCATTATGAAAGCAGAAGCTGTCCCTATGATGGACAGCTCTTTTGTTTCTGCAAACAGCAGCCTTCAGCCTGGATGTTTTGTTAAGATTTCTAAAAGCCTCTTTATTATTCAGATTGATTAGGGAAATACATTTTTCTCTGGACCCTATGGGAGCTGCTTTTTAAGGAATTACTTGTGTCGAATTATACCCTTCTATTGCAGCACTTGAATGGATACGTCATGCATAACTCACACAACTCGCCTGCTCCCTACTTCCCAAAGAAGGCCAGGGCCCTGCGGGGTACCAGCCTGGTGTTCATATTCAGCCCCACACAGCAGCATTCACCAGGGCGAGGCTGCTGGCCGTCAACTCCTGGCTCTTAGTCAATATTTAATCACAGCGCAGTTACGGAGAGAGAAGGAAACATTCCATCTCCCAATAACATGCCTCTAATATGAAAAAAGCTTTCATTACATTTATGGAAGGCTGGTTATGCTTTTTAGAAAAGCTATCAAATTGAGAAGTTGCACAACTGTTCCGATACGGCATTTTAAGTACATTGTCATTGGTAGGTGTATAAAATGAATAATACTTGTGATTTTTTTTTAACTATTACAGAACTTTGAGTTTTCCCTATAATCTTTTTATTTTATTTATTTATTAATGGAGACAGGTGTTTGGAGAAAAACCACAAAATCTTTTTCTAATTCAAAAACAGCACCAGTTCAGTTTCCAGGCTACAAAAGCAAAGAAGCCACAGACAGGAGAAGTCAGCTTTGCTACTTTGACTTAGTATTAAAGCTTTCACAAGGGGCTAGTATTGTGCAGGTTAAGCTACCACGTGCAGTACTAGCATCCAAAATGAGAGTCAGTTAGAATCCTGGCTGCTCCTCTTCTGATCCAGCTTCCTGCTGATGCACCTGGGAAAGCAATGCAAGTTGGCCCAAGTGGCTGGGCCCTGCCATCCACACAGCAGACCCAGATGGAGTTCCAGCCTCCTGGCTTCATCTTGAACCAGTCCCAGCTGTTGTGGCCATTTGGGGAGTGAACCAGTGGGTGGAAGATCTCTTTCTCTCTCTCTATAACTCTACCTTTCAAGTAAATAAATCTTTAAAAACCAGCTTTCACAGTTTTGTTCTGGATAGAGATTTGTAAATACTTCTCTCAGATCTAGCATGAAGCTATAAAGCCACTTACTTTCCCACTTATTCTAGGGGCTAACTTGAAGAACACAAGCCACAGGTTCAAGGGGAAGAGTAAAGGAAATTCTTGGGAGATGCCACTGTGCCGGGGAATTCGTCCGCCTTTGCTTCCTGTGTAGTAAACAGCTCTTCTGAAGATCTGGTCAGCTGAACTGGAGTCACTGAGCCCTTTCCACGAGACCTGCACTGTTCCATAGGGAAGGCGGCACGTTGCTTACAGCATCAAGATGAAAGGAAAACAGCAGAGAAAGTGAGCGCCATGCAGGGCATCGGGGTAATAAGTATTGAAAACACCTTAGCTCAAAGGCACACAGTTTTTCTCTTTCATTCTTTCTGCTAATCCACGACCAGATGAACAGGTGTGGACTTGCTCAACTGCATGGCATGTGGCAGGAAACATTTTCACTTCAAAGTTGCAAACCATATTTGACATTCAACAGCTTTTCATTGTGGATGGATAGAAGAGAAAATTAAGCCTTACTTCAGCTCATTACAATTCACTGGTCACGCTCTGCATAGTAATGTATGTCCCTTGGCTCCTAACCAAGGCTCCCCAATCCAATCATCACACATCAGCTGCATGGGGGCAGGAGGGGTGTCCTCTAACCTTCCAGCACCTGCCTGCAAAGCACCGAGAATCCCAGAAGGAAGTCCCAGGCTGGAGCATGCACCCATGTGGCTGGCATCCGAATGTTCGACGTCCTGGCCCCGATCCTGTTGGTACCTGGCACTTCAACCCCTCTGCCCCATCCTGGGTTAGTGAGCATTAAGGTTCAGGTAGATCCTGAGCAACTCACTGGGGCAAAGCCTGGGACTTCTGCATTAACACAGCCTCGGCGCACAGCAGTCAGCAGACCTGACAGAACCAAAACATTCAGTAAGTTCTCGGAGCCCAAGGAGTTTAACACGGATTCACTCCCAAACTCCAAGAGCTTCTTCCCACTGATTCCCTAAAAGCCTCCATTCTCCACCCTGCCCCAGCTCTCCGGGGAAAAGAAAACAGCATTGCAGGAATTGTGCCTATTATTAAACTTCCTGCAGCATAATTTTTTTTTAAATTTACCTCAGGAAGACTGCAGGATTGTCTTATTGGGTACGAGAAGGCTTTGAGAAGCAATGGGAAGTTCCACTAATAAGGTGCACACTGGGAGGCCAGGGACGTGTGTGCTAGCGAGGAGGGTATTGTGGCCTTAGATTCCTCGAACCTTCGCACACTCTCTCTGCCCCAGGGCCCTCAGCTGGCACGGCTCCAGCCATCCCATTCTTGGGGTCTCCACTCAGCTGTCGTCCCCCCAGCACTGCTCCGCAGGTGGCCAAGTCGGTCTCCAAAGTATCCAGAGTCTCTCTTTCGTCCACTTATTACAGACATTAAACACTAACCGCGGAATTTGTTTGCCGTCTATCTCCCTCACCAAAATAAATATGCCGTTGGGGCAGGGATCACAGCTCACTCGTCTCTGCCAGAGTCATGCCCAGTGCAACTACTGAAAAAATAAAGAGATGACTGTTGAGTGAATAAGTACACAAATGGACCCCCCCAAAAAATCCCAGAGGGAAGTGGGTGCAGCTGCAGCTTGAGCTCCTCGGCTTCTCCTCACCCAACTCTGTCTCCCTTCCTGGTCCTTCGAGCGAGTGTCTCTTTGTGAGACCCTTTGCCACTGCCACTGCTGAATGCAGTCCCGAGATTTCTGGGAAGAGAGCACTCCCGGAGCTCTGGCTCCCAGAGCTCGCTGCACACGTCCCCGGCTGCCTGTAACCTTAAGGACCCACAGTCTCACTCTACATATACATGACATCAATTTGCGAGGACCAGCTGGCAGGCACTCAGCCTGTGTTTAAGGTGCCCACAAGCACATAGGGGAATGGCTGGGTTTTATCCCCACTTCCAAGTTCTGACTCCAGCTGCCTGCTAATGCAAACCCTGGCAAGCAGTGGTGATGGTTTAAGTAACTGGGTTCCTGTTATTGGTGTGGGGCACTTGGATTGAGTTCTTGGATCCTGGCTTTCATCCACCAAAGCCCAGGCCACTGTGGGCATTTGAGGAGTGAAGCAGCATATAGGAGCTTTCTCTTTCTCTTTCTAAGGAAGAAATAAAAATTGAGAGAGAAAGAGAACAGAATTCTGACTACTCTGAATGCCCCGTTTAACTTCTCTGGGCCTCCCCTAAACCTGAGGATGATTACGATGTCTTCACACCAGTATAGAGGGTGAGTTTTTATTGAAGCCTGAAGGTCTGGACAGACACAACTTGTTAGAAGTAAGGACAGAGGTGGTAGTAGGGGCTTCAAAGCAGAAAGAAGAGCATAATGCCACGCATTTATGTCCAAATCAATTTTCAATTAAAAGGAAAAAGTCTTGCTTATGAAAAAATCCTCAAATAGAAACACATAGGCCTAAGAGAGTATTGTGTATCTGGAGATACTCAGATTTGGCCACAGGTATAAGTAAAACAACCAGTTACTGCGTGATGAAGGTCAGAGAGGCTAACTGCTAAGTACTTGGCACAGTAGTTTGTAACTGTTTGCAACATTGGCATCTCATATCAGAGCGCCCGTTCAGGTCCTGGCTGCTCCACTTCCGATCCAGCTGTTTTACCATTCCTGCCCATTTTCTAGTGGTGAAGGTGGACGGGCCTGTGCCACGGACAGGTCCTGTCCCAGGAAGTAACTGCAGGTCAGGTTTAGTGCTCACTGCTGCACCTCCTCACGGCATCGCTGCTCTCTCAGGCAGTGCCTGCCACACCTGAGTGTTCCTGTGACTTCCATCAGCCTCCCATGCTGGCTCCAGAAGGCACGCTGTGCGGTATCACAGTTCCCTGTCAGCTGTAGCTCCTCCCACCTTCCACACCTAACACACACTAGGCATTCAGTGTCTGACTCAAGCTATGAAGAAAAGATAATGACATACATTAAGGAAATTGTTGGCAGACATCATCTTGCAAACTATGCTTTGTTGAAAAACTTCATATACGCAATTTTGAAATATTTTAACTCTTGCTCCAGAATGGATTCAGAACATTTATCCCTTCAGAATTCAGGGACTCGCTACACGTAAAATACAAAGTTTCCACAAATTTATTTCACATTAAAAATACAAGCTGTAGGGTATGCTTGTGGCCTAGAGGTAAAACATGGGGTAAGGTGCCCACATGCCACATCGGAGTGCCTGGGCTCAATTCTCAGCTCTAGCCCGATTCCAGCTTCTTAATAATGCAGACCTCGGGGGCAGCAGGTAATGCCTGAAGTAGTTGGGTTCCTACTAGCCACATGGGAGACCTGTGTGAGCTCCCAGCTCCCAGCTTCAGTCCCAGCCCAGTCCTGGCTGACGTAGACATCTGGGGAGCGAACCAGCAAAAGGGAGGTCTTTGTATCTCTCAACGGAATAAATAATTTAAAATACAAGATTTATATCCTAATGCTAGCCAGTTTACCTTAATAAACATAAAGAGGCTGCTGTCTCCATTCCAGAGCCTGTAGATAATGACGTCTGTGTACAAAGTCTCAGCTGCGTCAAGAGCATGTGTCTGGAACAAAATCAGAGTACTGGGTACATCTGCAACTTCAGCTGAAAGCACTATGTCGGCTCCGTGTTTGTATCCAGGTGTCAACACTACCCTATCCAGAGACTGAATCCCTACATAGGTCAGTTAGGCTTTCGTCCTTCCCAAGGTTATTGCTGCCTTCCCTTGCTTTGGCTTACCACCCCATAAATGGGCAGGGTGGGGACTGCGGGGGTCAAGGAGGGATTATGTGGACAAGATTCCCTGGGGCAGGATGTCGATGTGGCAAGATCCACTAATGACACCCTGAACATCACTTCTGCAGATCTCAACTTGGGTTCTGAGTCAGAGACTGCTTGCTGTTACTGCTCTGGTCCCTGATTTGCAAGTGATACAACCAGCACCAACTGCAACCCAAAAATCAACAGGAGGTGGACAGCGCAGCAGCTATCTTGGAAGCAGAAGAAACCAAGGGCAAGTCAGGCAGCAGAAGTCAGGGCCACACTTTATGTCACGCAGTTAGCAGCAGTCACCACTGCAAGGGCCTCTACTGTCCCTCGGGACCTGGCACAGAGTCCTACACTTAAAAGTCCCCCGGGGGCTCTTTCACCTGGAGCAGGGCCAGGCAAGGAGGAGCTGGGGTGAGGTTCCCAGGACACGAGCTGGCCAGCGATGAGTGCCCTCCCACCTAAAACACGCACCACCAGGAAGAGGGCCTAACAGGTGGCTGGGAGTTATTAGGAAGGATAACTCATGCTGGGCACAAAAAACATGCACATCCGCTCTAGGAGGGAGAACCTGAGCATAGGGAGGCTGTGGTGCCGGCGTGCCCTGCCCTCAATCAGCACCTGATGAACCTCAAGAGAGCACAGGACTCAAAACTTCCTGGTCTAGAAAACAGAGTTCTGGAGACAGAAATGTTTAGTTGGCGCTACCATACTCCACAAAACGTTCAACGTGTAATCAGTAAAAGAAGTCCAAGCATCCTCAGGAGGAAACCCCCGATCCTGTCAGCCCCACCAGGACATCCAAAGGCAGAGAGTGAGGAACTAGAAGAGCCTCTGTCCGAGAATTCACTGAGTTGGGGCTCTCCTCTCTTGGCAACAAAATGATGCCTCGTGCCCACTGGTCCTTTGGTTTTGGAAATCCGGGTCATCCCCTCAGTCAACAAACACTGGACATCCCAATGGGGTGATTTCCTGACCTGTTCCCCCGCTGCTGGAGTCTCACACCTCTTTCCCCACCATTCCTGCTCTTCGAGAGAGAGCTCCCAACACATCCTCAAGACTTCATTGACAGCAGGTAGCAAGCATTCCACAGGCAGTTTATCCATCTGTCAGTCAACGGTCCCCTGGCCCCTCTGCCACACCTTTCACCTACACACTCACAGCCTTCCCAATCCCACCAGAAACTTAATGTTCAAGAAACCCATTCCAAAGGCCAAAGCTGTTGCCCAAAGGCTTGGATGTTGGGGTGCCAGGTAACATTCCAAACAGCGACACCGGTGGCAGTGGACTGGCGGGGCTTACTTCCGGTCCTGGGAACTTGCGGCACAGGTGAAGCCTGAGGAGGCAGGGAGGGTGCGTTCCTCTCTGGACTCGCTCCTCCTAACATTTGTCTTCTCCAGCAGGCAGCTGCAGAGTTCCAGGCAAGGCAGCCTGGTGGGAGATGGGATTACAGACTCCTCTTCAAGAGGCATTTGCAAAGCAAATACACCAGCATGCTTTTACTTAGACTTCACACTTGCTTGAGACGACTTTGGGGAGAGGTGATGCAAAATATGGAGGGACCCAACTCTGCCCATTTCAAGTCACAGCTACAAGGATATACTATTTATTACTTTTGTTGAACAGCTTTTTTTTTTTTTTTTTTTTTTTTTGGACAGGCAGAATGGCCAGTGAGAGAGACAGAGAGAAAGATCTTCCTTTTTCCATTAGTTCACCCCCCAATGGCCGCTGTGGCCGGCACACCGCACTGATCCGAAGCCAGGAGCCAGGTGCTTCTCCTGTTCTCCCATGTGGGTGCAGGGCCCAAGCACTGGGCCATCCTCCACTGCCTTCCCGGGCCACAGCAGAGAGATGGACTGGAAGAGGAGCAACTGGGACAGAATCCGGCACCCTGACCAGGACTAGAACCCGGTGTGCTGGCACCGCAGGCGGAGGATTAGCCTATTGAGCAGCGGCACCGGCTTGTTGAACAGTTTAACACAGACTTATTAACTTTAAAATCCAACATAGGAGCTGGCACTGTGGCACAGCGGGTTAAGCCACAGCCTGGGACACCGGCATCCCACATGGGCACTGGTTTGTGTCTAGGCTGCTCCACTTCTGATCCAGCTATGTGTGGATGTGCCTGGGCAAGTGTTTGGGTCTCTGCACCCACATGGGAGACCTAAAAGAAGCTCCTGGCTTCAGGCTGGCCCAGCGCTAGCCATTGAGGCCATCTGGGGAATAACAAGCAGATAGAATGTCTCTCCCTCTCTCTTTCAAAATAAATAATTTTTTTTAAAAATAAGATTCAACATAAATCTGAATAAAGTCTGCAGTTGAAGCAGCAGTATCATGCCAACATTCATGTCTTAGTGCTGACAACTGTACCATAGTTCTGTAAGATTTTAACATTCAGGGAATCTGGTGAAGAGTATTCAGGAACTTTCTTTACTATCTTTGTAACTTTTCTATAAATCTAAAACTATGCCAAAATAACGTTTTTAATAACGTTAATATGAGGTATGCTTCCTACTTTCCTAAAGAAAAGCGAATAAATATCCCAAACTTGAACGGCTTACTTGAAATCTATGATGACTTTTTAACTTAAAGCCAGTAGGCTCTAGGCAGGAAAAAAGTCCCAAACTCCATACTTTCAATGGGCCCTCCTCAATATTTTGCAGTAATGGGGCAATGAAATAAAATCTCAATACAATGCAGCAATGAAGTTTTATTGGACTCTGAGTAACAGCAATTTTGTCAAAACTCATTACCACCACTTTTGGAATTAAATGCTCTCAGACAAGCTTCCAGTAGACAAAAGGGCTGAGGCCACACACATTTCCTGCAGTCAGTGTGTGTGTCTCTGTGTGTGTGTGTGTGTTTACATTAAGATAACCTGGTCTTAAAGAGTGCTTCCCTTTTCATTACTCATAAATAATGAAAAATAAGTCATGATACACTTCCCCGAGTCCAAATGATAAATTAGCTTTTGAACTGCTTTGAAGATGAAAGAGAAAAGTAAATGCTAATGGGATGTGTATAAAAAAATCAATGAAAGAGAGATAGGTGTGCAGTACCTCTTGTGTTTTCCCCTGGATGTTATTATTTTTAATTATTTTAAGCACTGATGGAAAGGGAAAAAAAAGCTACCCTGCTGTCAATGAACAGGAACAACACTCTGGTGGGTTTTCCGCCCGAAGAGCGCTCCCTTCCAGAATGTCACCAACCCCGCCTTGCTCCACCTCACCCCCACTTCAGGAGAGGCGCTTCACCTCTCTGGGTCTCAGCTTCCTCATCTGTAAGGTGACTGGAGGTCGGGTGAGGTGTGCGCTGGGAACCTAGTACCCTAAAAGCTGTCTTTTCAACCACAGACCAGTTAGCCCCACAAATGTCTGCATGCATTTAAAGTTACTTGCCAATGTTTAACAGCCACGATGGTTCTCATCCACTGCCGGGTCATGGACTTCCCCCTATCAGAATGCTGACTCTGCTCTGGCATGGCGACAAAAGCTTGTGAGTTTGCCACCCTTGCTCGGGAGTCCCTTCCAGCTCTCATATACTGACTCCCAGGGTGACTGTTTACTAATGAGGCAGAGCTCCGATGCAGCTTCTCGCACAGTGGGACTTCTACAGGGGGTTTTCATGTGTCACTACAGGCACAACAATGGTACGTTAACTCTGAGAGTCTCTGTATGAAACTCAAGGAAAATAAAGCTAACATTTAAATCACTACATCATAGCAGAGCAGGGGTCCCAAAGGTTTTAAAATTGATGCTGCCTAAAGTTGTCCTTCTAGAATGAGATCTTATTTTAAGGGCTATTTGGGTCAGACTATGGGGCCACTGTGGGCCAGACAGGACTCAGATCACTGGTTATATAACTTAAGTGTTCAAAAATAAAATCCCAGTGCTCCATTCTCTTATTCCCCACAGAACTGATTTTGAAGCGAAAAACACAAAGGACAGAGCATGTGCGATGTAGTTGCTCATCAAGTGTCAGACAAGGTCAAAATGGACCCAAAATTACATAACAGTGCACAAAGGGAAAAAAACTGTCTGCAATATTCCTAAGTAGGATAGCTTTTAGCTACTGGTGCCACGAACAGAAACACAGGCAGACTAAATTGGTTTTGAAACTATTTGAAAACACGTTATTTTTAGAAGAGTGTAGATTAAGCCTCTCAGTTCTTTTCTAAGAAGATACTGCACCAGTCTCCCAGAGGGTTAGCCCCTTCTTATTTTGGAAATAAATTTAACACTATTCTTCCTTTGGGTGAGTAAAAAGGGTACGAGCTTTTACGCTGCTGAGCTTGACATTAAAAATATCCCAGGCATTTTATGACATAGCAACCTCTCTGTTTTTGCTTTATTTTATAATGTTGTGATCTCAAATCTAAATTTGTAACACTGCCGGAGATCTTAGGAATTATGAGGAAATTATTTCAATCCCTTTAAACTTTCCCAGACAGCAAATTTCTCTCCATATAAGGCAAACCAAGAAGAAAGCAGCGTCAAGTTACAGGAGTTCAGCGGCTGCCGTGACTTACCTTGGTTTTGTCCAGGCACGCGCACAGACCAGTGGTGAGCAAGTGCACCCTGACCACCACCGGCCGGCCAGGGAGGGGGCCTGGCTTCCTCTCTGCATCCTCAGAGCAGGAAAGGGCCTGGCCACCAGAGGTGCCCAGCACTAGAAGAGACGCTTTCCTAGGGACTCAGCTGGTCCCGTGTACACACAGAAGGGCAAACACTCGGGCTCATGAGCAGGCAGGCGGGACTCTAGAGGAGGAAGCAGTGGGTACGCTCTGCAGAGGGGCGGCAGTGCTCTGCTCAGCTGAGGCCTATGCAGGAGGCACTCACTGGAGGCCGGGTGCTCTGCTCTGAACATCCAGGAACCCACCCGAGGATAATGCAGCATCACTGTCCCTCCATCTGGAGAAGGAGGCCCAACCCACACTTTGCAGCTTTTTGTAATATCTTGTTAAAAAAAAAAAAAACTCCATAAATAACTAAGACATTTAGTTCTACAAGGACATTTTGGAGGGATCAATCATCCCTATTAGGACATGGGCAATAAAACCCTCTGGAATTGACAAATTTGCAGAAATCAGCTGCTGACTAATATGCTGCTTCTTGTAATCCATAAAAATGGAAGCTTTCTCTTTTTTTTTGGTGTATCATGCTAATGTCTCAAGGAAGAAAGATTCACAGTCCCTGTCATGAACCATAAATACTAAGGGGCTTTGAGGGATGGAAGAAAGAAAAAGATGAATGTGATATTGCTGATGATGGATGTACCAAAAAGGGCATTCAGTTACAAATAAATATAAGCTCTTTGGGTGCAGATGCATGGGTATCAGTAAAATGTGCAGATACAAGTTGCAATTATTAGGAAATTTGATATACACAACTAGGTTGAAGGAAAAAAAATTTAAAGATGCATTTATTTCTTTATTTGACTTACAGATTTACAGAAGGGGAGAGAGAGGGAGGGGAAGAGTTCTTCCATCCGCTGGTTTACTCCCTAGGTGGCCACAATGGCCAGGCTGAAGCCAGGAACCAGGAGCTTCATCTGGGTCTCCCATGTGGGTACAGGGGCCCAAGGACTTGGGCCATCTTCCATTGCTTTCCCAGGCCATTAGCAGGGAGCTGGATTGGAAGTGGAGCAGCCAGAGCACAAACCAGTGCCCACAAGGGATGCCAGGGCATCACAGGCAGCGGCTTTACCTGCTATGCCACAATGCCCACCCCTAGGTTGAACAGAATTGATACCCCTGTAGCTTCCAGTAAGTTTTGCTTTCTTATAACCTCCTATCAGATGTAAATAAAAAATAGGTTTACAGGACTTTAAAAGAACTATAAACCTGGGGCTGTACAAACACTGGTGGAGCTCAATCCTGGCACCTGGGTATTTCCTAGCCTAAGCCTTCATCTTTTTGAATTACTGATATTTGATGAAGAAAATATCACCACACTAGAAAAAAATAGGAATAACCTACACTGATACAAGTATTGAAAACCAGGTCAGGTGGAGAGACTAAAATTAGGTGAAGTGTATGCATGAACTAGAAGATAATGACAGGTGTTAAAGACTGGTGATAAAATATTCTTGACAAAATTACAACAAATATATACAGAAAATGGCAATTATTCACAAAAGGGAAGTAGCAGCCCAAAGCAAAGCAAAGCAAAGCAAAAAACCCAATGAGCCGCGAGTATCTGAAACAACTTGAAGGGAGAGTAACAGCTAAGCCACCCCAGACCCGACAAGAAGAATTAGTAAGGGCTGAACCCTACAAATGGAACTGGGAACCCCAGAAACATCCCACAGGCGAAAAAACACCCAAACACATCTCCTTGTCTTTACGTTTCCTTTTCTATTCCTCACTTCCAGCCGTATTCTAAACATGCTAGGTGTGTCCGAATTTAGACTATTTCATGAACCCCACAAATACTTGGCTTCTAGTCCTTCTTTGCTTTTGCTATTTTTCTTGGGGTACAACAAAATATCCAGTTAACACTCTGGAAGGAACACAGTAAGCCTGCACTTGTGGGAGGAGCCACACAGGGACATTCTCTTCCCCTGCTCTGATTCCAGGACCCCCCAACCCTGAGTGTCGTGATGGGCTTTTGTAAATGGAGGCGACAAGCAGAGAGGTGACTCGAACCCTCTGTGCTCCCTCCTCTGCCCCCTGCAACTTTTGGGTTCCTTGCAAAGTCCAGTCTCAGTCGTCCCTAAGCCCCTGTTGAGTTGCCCAATGCTGAGAAAGGAGGGGGCTGTCCAGCTCAGCCAAGGTGCTGACAGCTGGAAAAGGAAAGGCGCCACGGGGGAGAGAAATGCCAGGCCAGGGAGCCCTGCTCTGCTGGTAGAAATATGCACAGTGATGAGCTGAAGCCCCAAGGAAGGAAGAGAAGAAAGCGATTTTCTCAACCGTTCCTGACAGCGTCCATTTCGAACAAAGAAAAAAGAAGAAACAGTAAATGAAAATTTTCCTATCAAGGGATGAAAATTAGAATCTACTTCCCTGTTTTGGAAGATCTTAAATGCTGAGATTGGAGCTGTCCTCCGAACTTGGTTTTGGAAACACCTGTTATTAAAACAAAGAAAAAAAAAAAGTGGCACCACCAGCCAAGAAGGGCAGAGTTCACTAAAAGTGGGAATTGAGTGGGATTCGGGGCCTGGCACGGGGGCAGGCTGGGGCAGGCCTGGGCAGAGGGAGCAGCGCAGGCTTCCTCGTTAGAGCACAGGGAAGGTTTGATCGTGACTTCCCAGATGCTTTCTCTCTCTGAAATCCTACTGCTTTTCCATGGGAAATACTCCTGTCCACAGAAGTTGGGCACAGAAGAGACTCCCAGGAAATGACAGGAAAAAGTGTCACCTGTCCTCACAGCTCAAGTGGCACAAAGCAGGGAAGAAAAGGCATTTGGAAAAGACTGTTTGGTAAGACCACTTTGAAAATAAGAAAACAACATCATTCATTTCTTCAGGGGAAGAGGTCCAGGAGCATAAACACATTTCTGTTTTTCCATGCAAATGCAATGCCATCATGTTTAGATAAGCTTTTTCTTTTTTAAGATTTTATTTATTTATTTGAGAAGTAGAGTTACAGACAGTGAGAGGGAGAGACAGAGAAAAAGGTCTTCCATTCTCTGGTTCACTCCCCAAATGGACACAATGGCTGGAGCTGGGCCGATCTGAAGCCAGGAGCCAGGAGCTTCTTCTGGGTCTCCCACATGGGTGCAGGGGCCCAAGGACTTGGGCCATCTTCTACTGCTTTCCAGGCCATAGCAGAGAGCTGGATTGGAAGTGGAACAGTATGGACTTGAACCAGTGCCCATATGGGATGCCGGCACCTCAGGCAGCAGCTTTACCGGCCATGCCACCACGGCAGCCCCTAGATAAACTTTTAAGAAAGCACCTGAAATTACTATTATGGGCACTAATAAGAAAGTTAACAGTGTAAAAGCTTTGAGTGAGTTAAAGAACTAAACAGAAAGGCTGGTACAAAATGTATTAAGCAGTTTGACCCAGGTTCTCAAGGGAATGTGACTGTAGTATGTGTGTACAGGTGTTTGACAGGGACAAGGGACTGCACACAGCTTCAAAGAACAGAGATCACCCATGGGCAGGTAACTGAGAATACAAGCCAACGAATGCTTGTGATGTCCCCCAAGGAAGCTGGAAGCAGAGGCAGACCTCTGTCAGGCAGGAGACTGTAGGCAAGACCCTGAACCTTGCTGGGCTCAGTTTTCTCATTTCTAAAACAGAAATGGAATTGTAACTGCCTTGTTCAGTTTTCTGAAAGCCTTTTAAAATGCATGTACAAGTAAACATGGAGTAAGATGTTTGAAAGAAAGAGAGCCTGTTCAAAGTTGAGATGATCTGGCCAAGCTTTCCCAAAGGTGGGGTCTTAAGTCCCAAAGAGGTGGGCCACAGGGAAGCCCAGTGATGGGCAATGAGGGGGACAGCAGGTGGTGGACCTGCTACTGAGCTACTACTGGGGCTTCCAATGAGTGAGGAACTAGGGAATGCCAGAGAGCAACGGAGCTAGAGTTGAAGACACAGGCAAAGTCGGAAAGAGAAGGAGGAAGACAACACGATGCTTGTGGTAAGATGTTCAAAGAACTCAACAAGTGCATGATGACAACATATGACTTTCAGATGTACACCCTGAAGTTTCTTCTTGGGATGTTTAAAAGGTCCACTGACTGTTGAGGCAAACATCTGGCATATACTGGATTGGTTGGGCTCAAGTTGCAACTCTACCCTGATTCTAGGTTCCTGCTAATGTGTACCCTGGGAGGTAGCAGGTGATAGCTCAAGTAGTTAGGTCCCTGTAATCCATGTGGGAGACCTAGATGGAGTTATTAGCTCCCCGCTTCAACCTGGTCCAGCAGGAGCCACTGGGGCATTTGGGGAATGCCAGGGGATTGGATAGCTTTCTTTGTCTCTCTGCCTCTCAAATGAATTAAAAAAAAAAAAAAAAAAAGGATAATAATGTGTAAACCAACTAATAGGTGAAGATTTCTTTTAATCCAACTACAACATTTCAAAAGGCAGTTCTACAGTATGATGTACCCTTCAATGGCAGCTTAACTGCACGCACACACATACACACACACACACATAGCCCCAGGACAAATATGCTATTGTTAAAATTTGGAAAACTGTTCAGTTGTGTTTTACCTGCAACCTATTTTTTTAAAAGCCCAACCATCTCTGTTCAGAAATCTTGAGTATATGCTAATGAAAAATAAAAAAATCAGCCTACATTAGAAAAGTAGGCAAAGAACTCTTCCTTCTGGTAAAGATACTTGAAGGGAAAAGGCTGTAGTACAGAATACATTTAGCCTGGGAAATTTCTAGTTTCAGTAAAAACCTACCACACGGTGTGCCCTCTACCAGGAACAAGTGACAGCTGCGTAGCACAGAGAATGTCTGCAATGTCACGTCCTAGGCTGCCGGGTCACGTAACTTATTAAACTTATAAACCACACTATATTTTGCAGGAATACTAAAGACATCTTTATTCTGGCTATAAAAGCAGGAATTCACGTAATTTAAACATAGCCCAAGTAACTAGGGAAACAAACTATTCAGCCATTCAAGCTTGTTTAGTGCTGCCGTTGACAGGGAAGGAGTAACCAGGCTGTAATTCTTACAGAATAATACATGGAAAATAACCTGTAATTAGTATCATTCTAGGACGAAATGTAGGTAGTTTAAAGTTTGCTACTCGCTAATAGTATAAACAAATAAAAAGACAAATTATTTTCAAGCGTTTTGGAAGTAACTTCATCAGGAGAATTTGCTTTCAATTAACGTGTCAATTAAAATTATTCTCATCTTCTCATTAAGTGAGGAAAATGCACCTGTCCGGGGCACTAAAATATAATAAAACAACACTTAAAATGTGTCAGGTTTACAAGCAGAACTCATCTATAATTTTAAAATGATTTCTTTTTGTTTTCAAACAACTGGTTTAATGACTTTGGTTGGGTACAACATGTGATCCTATTGCTGTTTCTCTAGTGCGGTCATTAAGAGGGAGGGGAACAGCTACTCCAGTCACCTGAAGGGAGACATGCTGCAGAGCACCAAAGATGCTGAGGGAACAGAGAGACAGAAGGGAGGGGGGCCGAGGTTCTAGTCCGTGCACTAAGAGTCATGGCAATGGCAACAGAAAGCACGGCTTCTTTGGAAGACAGTGAGGCAGCTTCTTATGAAGCTAAACACACACCTGCCACAGGATGCTGCTGCCCTACTCCTAGATATTTACCCAAGAGAAATGAAGTGGGTACTTCCACGCAAAGGCTTGTTCATAGTGCTTTTATTTGTTATGGCCCTCATCTAGAAACAATCCAAGCATCCATCAGCCAGTGAATAAGGTATATCCATGAAATGGAAGGCTACTCCACCACTGAAAGGACAAGATCAATATCATAACATGCGTAGTAACTCTCAAAATAATCACCTGTTGAATGAAAGAAGTCAGACAAAAATGAATATATACTGTATGACTCTACTCCATGTTAATTTTAGAGAGTGTAAGATAATCTACAGTATAAAAACCAGATCAATGATTGAGCAGAGGCAAGATGGGGGCATAACAAAGGGATGTGAGAATACTTTTGGGGGTGCTGGGTATGTTCATTATCTGCATTTAGGTGATGGTTTCACGGGCATCTCAAAATTCATGCATATGCCATACATATGACTCACATTAGTCAAAACTTATCAAAATATAATTGATTTCAGTTGATAGTATGCCAATTATACTTCAATGCAACTATATTTAAAGAAAAGAGTCACAAAGAGAAAAAAAGGGACTGAGTTCCCAGAGACTGACAGAATAGGCTAAGCATGGAGGAGCAGAAGAAGAGCCCTCAGAAAAACCATGCAGAGCCTGTGACATGGCATTGTAAGTTAAGCAGCTTCTTGCAAAAGCCGACATCCCATATGAGCACCAGTTCTTTGAGAAGGCAGCAGGGAATGCTCCACTTCCGATCCAGCTCCCTGCTAATGCACCTGGGAAAGCAGCAGAAGATGGCCCGAGTGCTTGGGCTCCTGCATCCACATGGGAGACCTGGAAGAAGCTCCTGGCTTCAGTCTGACACAGCCCCTGTGTTGAGACCATTTGGGGACTGAACCAACGGATAGAAGACCTTTCCCTGGTCTGTCTCTCTCTCTCTCTCTCTCTCTCTCTCTCTCTGTAACTCTGCCTTTCAAATAAATTTAAAAAATATTTCAATTTAATTAAAAGAAAAACCATGGAGAAAAAGAGGTGAAACAGTATTCCACTTAGGAAAAGGAGGACACTGAGGCAGGGAGTTCTCCAATTCTACTTAAAGAAGTCCCAGGAACAGGAGGGATTGTGATGCAGGGAAACACCAAGGTCTTAGAGAAGCAGAAGAGAAGAGAAAGTCTACTGTTGGGGGCCAAACAGGGAAACTTGAACAGAAGCTCCTGGTTTTCCCCAAGACAATCCAAGCCAGCTCACCAGAGTCTGAGTAAGCAAGGAGGTAGGAATTGCGTCTGAACAAAGACATCAAAGGCCCTGATATGCAGAATCCTTCTTCCCTCTGTGGATGGCCCGTGAGACAAGCAGGACTGTTCACAGGGACACTGGACAGGGCAGGATGCCCAGGAGCAGGGCCACCCACCTGGAGGAGGGTGTCTCTGGCAGTAGTCTGGGTTGGTGGGTGGAACCTCTCACCCTCTCTGCGTAAGCCAAGCATTTGTGCCAGGCACAATGTGAGTTACTGTGAGTTGCACAGACCTGCTGCTCTGGGGGTTGGGCCACCTGGGGTGACACAGGCCTGTCACGGTGCCCCCAGAGAAGGCAGCATGGAATGGAGTCACCAGAGTGTGTGCTTCAGGGCTCCTCGGGTCCCCTCTGAGCTCTGACAGTTCCAGACAGCATCTGGGCTCCAAAGGAGAGATTAAGTTGCTCAAACTCATCACAAGGTAGAGGTTGGCCTGAGGTTTATTTATTTATTTATTTATTGACAGGCAGAGTGGACAGTGAGAGAGAGAGAGAGACAGAGAGAAAGGTCTTCCTTTGCCTTTGCCGTTGGTTCACCCTCCAATGGCCACCACGGCTTGCGCACCGCACTGATCCAAAGGCAGGAGCCAGGTGCTTCTCCTGGTCTCCCATGGGGTGCAGGACCCAAGCACTTGGGCCATCCTCCACTGCACTCCCGGGCACTTGGGCCATCCTCTACTGCACTCCCGGGCCATAGTAGAGAGCTGGCCTGGAAGAGGGGCAACCGGGACAGAATCCAGTTCCCCGACCAGGACTAGAACCCGGTGTGCCGGCGCCGCAGGCGGAGGATTAGCCTATTGAGCCCGGCGCTGGCCTGGCCTGAGGTTTTAAATCCCACCCACTCACTGTGGATTTTCAATCTTTGCCTCACTCTGCCTGGATTAGGGCCAGCTGACATCTGACACGGTTGAGGCCTCAGTCTTCCTTTGGAGAGTGACATGGCAGTGGTGAGGAAGAGTGGGCCCCGTGCTCCGCGGAACTCAGCGCTGTGCTATGGAAAACAAAACAAAGCTGCCCGTGAGCAGAGGCAGTCCTGGGATTTCAATCCCGCCCCAGTGCCTCTCTGCTTCATCCTAAGGAACCGGTCATCAGGAAATCCTTTGTTATTTCAGGAAAGTGGGCGCTCCTACTTCTCACTTCAAGTTGTTTTACCACTAAAGAGAGAAAAACACATGTTCTTGTGCCAGAAGCAAGGTCAAAACCCTTTCCATTGCTTTTTCACTGAGCTCTTGGGCAAATCACTTACCCTTCCTGGACCTGTTTTCTCAACTATAAAACAAGGGGGCCAGATTGAAAATGGGGCGTGTGCGACTTACAAAACTCCCTCTCTCCCTTGCTCCTCTTTCCTCCCTTCCCCACACATCTGAAAGTCTACTACTTTCCAGGCACTAGACTGTAGCAATGAAAAGACAGGCAAGATCCCTTCACCTCAATTTCAGAAAGACCGCAAACAAGGAGAATGGCGCAAGCCAATGTCAGGGGGTGACAAGCACTAGGAAGACAACACACAGGAGTCCTGGTCTGGGTGGAGTGCTGGTACTTTACCAGGCCAGAAGCAACCTCTCTGAGCTGGCAAGAGGTGAGCTGATCTGCAAGGCAGAGATGGCAAGCACAGTTAACATCAAGCGCAAAAGCCCTAAGGTGGAGGGGGCGGAGAAGTTCTCTTGATGAAGAAAAACTACCCCTTCATCTGCTCTCCCCCTCCTCCTGGTATGCATGACAGCCTCCTAGGTGTATTTATACACACCATTTTAAAGAACAGCAAAAAACACATGTGCTTTAACAATGCCCTCAAGACAGGCCTTGTCTTCTACACGGCTCCTTCGCTAGCCTCAGATTTTCTGCACTCATCATTGTACAATCTCCCGTCCTTTTTTTTTAAATCAGTGGTTTTCAAACTTTTCTGACAGCACTCCATAGTGAGAATTAAACTTCATATTGTGACCCAAAACAAAACCGCCACGCTCAAGGAAGGAAAGTATCACTATAGTCTTAGAAATCTGTATTGAACTACATTAAACCTGTTTTCTTTATATTAAAAAAATAATAAATTTTTAAAAATCCACCAAGCTTATCGTGACCAGGTGGCAGACATGGTAGTATGGTAGCCCACTCTTATTTCTCTACCTTAAATGCTAAGGTGATTTCACAGGTAACTGAAGTCTGAAACACACATTTTAAACCAATGTAGACTAGCAGTTTCATTCAGACACAAACTCAAATATGGGAAAGTTTGATATTAACTGCCCCCATTTTCCTATTCACAGACTTGCTTTAAAGCCATGGAACAGGGTTGGCACTGTGGTGTAGAGGGTAAAGGTGCCACTTGCAGTGCTGGCATCCCATACAGGTGCCAGTTCGAGTACCGGCTGCTCCACTTCCGATCCAGCTCTCTGCTGTGGTGTGGGAAGGCAGTGGAGGATGGCCCAGATCCCTGCATGGAAGACCCTGGAGAAGCTCCTGGCTCCTGGCTTTGGATTGGCGCAGCTCCAATCATTGTGGCCATCTGGGGAGTGAACCAGCAGATGGAAGGCCTCTCTCTCTCTCTCTCTCTCTCTCTGCCTCAGCCTCTCAGTAACTCTGCCTTTCAAATAAAATTATTCAATTTGAAAGTTAAACAGAAAGAGAGAGAGAGAGAGAGAGAATGAGAGAGAGAGAGGCCTTCCATCTGCTGGTTCACTCCCCAATGGCCGCAATAGCTGGAGCTGTTCTGATCCGAAGCCAGGAGCCAGGAGCCAGGAGCTTCCTCCAGGTCTTCCATGCAGGTGCAGGGGCCCAAGGACTTGGGCCATCTTCCACTGCCTTCCCAGGCCACAGCAGAGAGCCTGATCAGAAGTGGAGCAGCCAGGTCTTGGACCGGCATCCACATGGGATGCTGGTGCTTCAGGCCAGGGTGGTAACCCACTGCACCACAGTGCTGGCCCCAATATATAAATCTTTTAAAAAAAAAAAAAAAAAGCTACGGAACCTGTGGAAGAAACATCCGGAGTGGGGTGGGGTGGGAGGAAGAAATCCAAACATGCTAACGGTTCAGTAGGTGAGGAAGACTGACCAAAAAAGGAAAGAGTCCTTTCTTCACAATAACAAGAGAAGAGGTGTGTGTGTGTGTGTGTGTGTGTGTGTGTGGTGAGGGGCTGGCAGGGGTCTCTCAGGGAAGTCGTTGCCTTTAAGGTCCGGGAGGAGAGGCCGCCTGTATTCCCACCTCCCCTCACCAGAGTGAGGACCCACAGGGACACAGGAGTAACTGCTGCCCTGAGAACCACAGGGGGTAACAAGTGAATGTTTCTCTTCCTGAATGTTTCCCTTCCTAACTTTTGTCACCATGACAAAGCCTAACTTTGCACAGACTTGTATGGGCAATTACTGCACTTTCTTGGAATGTGGAAAGGCCGTGGAGAGGAAGTCCTGTGTCAGGTCCAGGGAGGTTAAGGAGGTATTTTTCTCAGGCAGTACAGAGGAAAAGGATGTTTTTTCTATCACAAGGTACATACAAGACATCACAGTGGCTATAATGGAAAGATTCTATGTCTGTTCATGGCCATGGTAAACTTCCAACAGCTGGGATTAAAATGAATGCGTTAATTTAACAGGTAGTTTCTCCAGGGACACTAACCAGTGGGCTCGCCAGCCAAGGGCTCCCAGAGAAGCCAAGCCAATTTCTTGTAAAAACGCAGTTACCATCCTCACCCTTAAAGTCAGAAGTGCACGCACCCAATTTCCAGGAGCCCTGGGGCCGCGGAGCCAGGGAAAAATTACACCTGCAAGGCAAGCATTTTCCCATCCTGCTGCACAGCTGTCCCACACCCAGCACCGCTCATTTAAACCGTGCCCCCAGGCCCCATTTAGGAACATCATTAACGACTTCAAACTACAACTGTTGCTTTATCTCCAAACAATGATAAATGAGGGAGCTACACTCGTGATGCTTTTAAGTCATTTATCTGCTTTCCTCTCCGGGGCAAAAAAAGATCTCGAGACAAGAAGGAACCTGCCAGGGCTTCTTATTAGGGATGCAGCCCTTCGTCCCCGCACCGTCTGGCACTCCTGAACCGAGGCAGTAGCCTCCAGGAAGGAACTGTAAGTGGCTCCGTTATCAAGGAGGGAGTGAGTCAGGCGACACCAGCAGGGACCCCGTCCCTCATCCTGGCAGCCCAGTTCATCCAGCTCCCCCAGGGTCAACAATAGCCCAGGTTCCGCAGGAAGGGAAGTCTTAGGGGAGGGCGGTCAATCCATCCAAAGACAGGAGCAGCCGCTCAAACGCGACATGGAGCAAATCTTGGGGCCAGAGCGGAGGTGCGAGCAGGCGACTGCGTGCGTGTGCACAGGGGCAGCCTAGCTATGGGCGAGACATCAGCGGCAAGGAAGGGAGAGCCACCACGATCGACAAAGCCACAACTATTACGACTGGAAATCTCCCACGCAGGCGCTGGCTTCCGTGCCAAAATCTCCCCGGATTTATTTTCAGGCAAGTGACTCACAACCTCGTCTCCACAAGTAATTCCATCAAAATGAGTCGCCGCTTCCACTAGCCCGACTTTCCGCTGCCCTCTGGGCTGTCCCTCCCTCCTCCCCACCCATCCTGCCAAGCCAGACAGCTCCCAGACCGAGACAGCGTACCCCAGGGGCGCCGAAGGCAGGCTTCCCGCCCTCCCCCGGGGGGGAAGGATGAATGGGGCCGCGAGCTGCGCGCGGGGCGTGTGCGCGAGCGCGCGCGTGGGCACGCACCCCGGCCAACTTACGGAGGTGGAGTTGGTCCTTGCCTGGCTCTGGTTCCGCACCTCCTGCTCCCGGAACTGCAACCCCGCCAGATGCTTCTCCAGCGCCTCCCAGTCCATAGGGGGCACCGGGGGCTCTTCGGGGACGCAGGTCCCGCTGTCCGGAGGCTGGCCGCAAAGCCCCCCCGCCGCTGGGCCCCGGCCGCCGCGCCGGCCCCCTGCCGGCTGGGGTTTCTGGATAGCCCGGCGGGGGCCCCGGGAGCCGCTCAGCCGGCTGGCCACCACCACGTTGCCATTGTGCCTGAGGTCCTGAGGGTCGTGCGCGTGGAGGTTGCCGTTGGGCATCGGGGGCGGCATTGCGGTGGTGGCGCTCCTGCCCCCGCAGCCGCCGCCGCCGCCGGTCCTGGCGCTCACGTCCCCCGGCTCCCGGGCCGGACAGCGGTCATCCCGGTACCCTCGCTCGTCCTCCTCTTCCTCCTCCTCCACGTCCTCCTCCGGCGCCCACTCATCAATCACCTTCTTCTGGTAGACCGGAAAGGGCTCCTCATAGTCCTCCAGGGCAGACACCAAGTCCAGACTGCCCCCCGGCGACGACGAGGATTTGCACTCGGAGCAAGGGGTCACTTTGGTGGAGTTGGACTGCGAACTGGCGCGGCTGCTGCTGCTGCTGCTGCCGGCGTCACTGCCTAGATCCATCCCATCCTCTCGGTAATCCTGGGGGGAGGAGGCAGAGAGTGAGCCGCCGGGCCGAGCCTGCTCCGGCCGCCCGCCGCCCGCCGCGAACGCCCCGGGCCCCGCGCCCGCCTGGTCCAAGGTGCGTCCTCCCGGGAGGCCTGGGAGCGGGAGACCGCACCAGCCCGAAGCGTCCCTGCTGCCCGGCCTCCCCTCCCACACCCAGACTTCCTGCGGGAAACTAACCCTCAAATTAGCCAAGGGGAGCCCAGCCACGGCGCGCACACTTTTCATACGCGGAATCCCGGCGCGCGCGCGGACTTTGTTTTAACCATTTTGCGCCAGGCGCGCCCCTGCACCCCGCCCCGAGGATTCTCCGAGAATCAGACACTTTCCCAGAGAATCCGAATTCCCGGTGCGGGGTGGGGGGGGGGGGAGAAGGCGGGAACCCAGAAGATGGTGGGCGGCTACTAATTTCGCACCTCGCTCTCGGCTCCGCGACCACCCCCACCTGGCCCCGCCCCGCCCCGCCCCGCGGCCGCGGGGAGCCGGCTCGGCGAGCTTTACTTTCTAAGGAGCCGCAGGCACCAGCGGGCTCCCTCCCGCCTCCGCGCCGCCCCGCCGGCCCCGCCTCCTGCCCGCCCCGAGCCTCGGGTGGGGGCCGCGCGGGGCGGGTGGTCCCCCGCTTCGCCTCCCCCGGAGGTGTGTCGGCCCGCGTGCCCGGAGCCCTGCAGGCGCCGCGGCCGCCGCCGCCGCCCTGGGGGAGGGAGGACGCGCCTGCCTGCCGAGCGGCGGAGCCGGTCCCGCCACCGAGCATGCCCAGAGGCTGCCGGGCGCGGCGCAGTCCGATCCCGGATTTCGCGGTCGCCGGCTGGAGCTGGAAGCCGGGCTGGCATGGGCTGGAGAGGCCGGGGAAAGGCCGGCCGGCAGGGGGCCGGGCTGCTTGCGGAGTAGACACAGCCACTTCGCCAGGGCTGTCCCTTGGGGAGGGTGGTGCGTTTCCGCCCCAGACACTCCCGTTCGCTGGCCGCGCCTCAAGGCCTCTCTGCAGGGCTCATTTACCCGGCGGCCGCTCCTGGCACCCCGAAGCGCGGGGCCCGGCGCCTCCTAACCCACGCGGCCGTGCCCGGGTGACCTCCTAAAGGACCTTCCGCCCCCGTACACATACACTGCCCAGGCGGGAGCCCGAGTGACGTGGGCTCGATGGTCAAGCACCATCATTTCCCTCCCACCTTCTTCCTCCCCTCCACCGCCCGGCTCCAGTCGCCTCGCCGATCCCTTTTCCAAGTTTACACTGTGGGTGGGACCTGTTGCTTTAGCTCAGGTCTCCATCCTCCCTCCGGACTGCACGCTGAGGATGACCTCAGAGAGGTGCGTGTTTGGGGCGAGGAGAGAGAAATGTTCGAGGCGGCTGGTCGGCAGGGCGGTGGAGGTCTTCCACCACCTGCCATGGAAACCTTGAGGGAGGGGAAGAGGCGAATATCCCGGTGCTCCTGGCACACTCGCGGGCTTTGCTTCCTTTTTTTTTTTTTTTCCTAGGTACTGAGTCAAGGACCCTGTGCTGGGTTTTTCAACAGCACACGCGGGTTTGCCTGAGTTTGCGTGAAGTGAAAAGACACCAAGGCTTGGAAAACGCGGAAGGATCAACAGGACGCCTTTGAAAAATGAAGCGTTTTCTGGGATGGAGTTTCACCTGAGAGACTGGGACGCTGGGAAATGGGAAATGCCCTCCTCTTCTGCAGCGATTACATAGAATAGACCCCACCTTACACTGTGAGGAAAGGCAGTTAGAGGAACAGCCGGAGTGGGCCTGTTAGTAGTTATTCCCAGTACTTTCTAGCTGGAACCAAGCCACCACCCTGCTTGGCACACTCCAGACAGAGGCACAGGGGAATGCTTGGGATTCCTCAGTGGGGAGTGACTGCCACCCTGACAATTCTTCCAGGCCCTAGCAGGGATTTGGTGCAGAGACCCTTTGTTCAAGTCATTCCGATGAGGCCTTTCTTTCCTCCTTTAAGTAGGGCTGAGACAGGGAAGATAAGCTAACCTCTTAAGTGTCTGCAGGCAACAGTCTCATGAATAGCAGGAAAAGAGGCTTTCTGGTCTGGTCAGTTCTGCATAACAGGACCAGACCATGGTGACTTAAAGTGTCCTTGGTTTATGGTAACATCTGCAAACAGCTTGCATCATCTCCAAATCTGGCTTGGTTCTGAGGTTGCTCTGGAGCCCTGGCTGCCACCCTGGATGGGGGGTGGGAGGGGTGGAAGGTAGCAGGTGGAGTTGGCAAAGGTGTGGGTAGGAAGCAGCGCATGCTGGGAACAAGGCAGCTAGTTCTGAGATCCTTGTGTGACCTGGCAAGGCTTAGGTCAGAAGTAGCTTCCTGCTCTGGGCAGGACACAGGTAGATAAGTGTTGACCAACTAGGGCATAAAGGAGAGTTGTGGTCCCAATTCAATTTTTAAACTCTGGGGCCTCCCCAGCTAGCCACCCAGACTCCCTCCTGGGCTCCAGCTTATCCCCCTGCTGTCCAGATGGTCTGTGCTCAGGAAATGCAAAATAAGGCCTAAGAAAAACATTTGGCAGGGTAAACCCACTGCCAAAAATGCATGGCATTTCAAAGCCAAATATAAACATCTTTGAATTATCTGTACTTTTAAATTATTTTCTGACCAGATATTCTGGATCAGATAAGAAAGTACCAGGTTTCCCTTTTCCTTTTCTCTGCAAGGTGTTTGGCTAGCTCATTTTCCACCCTTGTTTCCAGCCTGCCATCTCATGCCAAGAACCCTCCCACTTTGGAACAAGAAGCCCTGCCAACTTCTAGGCCAGCAACAGTCTGCAAATACGTCCAGCAGAATGAAAGGATGATTTGCAAAGTGATTGAAAGGTCCTGTCTTACTGTTTACAGGAGTATGTCCTCAAGTTAGGGCCTTGGAACTTTGTCCCTGCTATGGATTGAATGCGATTTGGCTCCTGAACTCATACAGGCATTTAAACTGCACTCATCCAGTTATGGTGTTTAGGAGATGGGTCCAGGGGGAAGTCCTCTGGGTACTGGAAGTGTGTCCTCAGAAGGCAGTTCTCCCAAGAGTGTAAAGGCTGAGTGGGGCTCAGTCTCTGTCTCTGCCCTGCGATCCCCGCCCCTGCCCCCGCCCCCGCCCTGTTGCCATCCACTATCCTCATCACATGCCACACAAATGTGGCTGGCTGATCTTGGACTGTGAACCTCCAGAACCATGAATGAAAACAAACCTCTTTGCTTCATAAGTAGCTGGTTTCAGATATTTTGTTGTAACACTTTATTATTTTTGTAGAAGTATTTATTTATTACAATGACAGAGTCACAGAGAAGAGACACACAGAGAGAAATCTTCTATCCACGGGTTCATTCCCTAGATAGCTACAACAGCCAAGGCTGGGCCGGGCTGAAGCCAGGAGCCAAGAGCTCCATCTGGGTCTCCCACATGGGTGGCAGGGGCCCAAGCCTTGTTATAATGTTTCAGAGCTAACTAATACAGCCTTCTGAAACCTTTGTAAGTTAGACATCAGCAGTGTGAGACAAGTGGCAGTCATCCCAGACCCCTGTTGCACCACCTTCCATCAATTGTTAAAGACCTGTCAATTCCATCTCTCAAAGACTCACCATCCTTACCCTAGTCTAGGCCACTGTGTCCTGAAATTACTAAATCATTTCCCAATGAATCCCTGCCCATTCTCCTCTTTGCAGCCAGAGTGGCCTTACAAAAACGGGAATCTGAACAAGTCTCTCGCTTGCTTTATCAGCCTCTCCCTCATTGCCCTTATAGGACCTGCTTCCCAGTCATCCCTAGGTGATTTTGACAATGTTTAACCTATCCTATAAGTCTGCTTAAAAGTCACTTCTTCCTGGGAGGCTCGGCTGATTCTCTGTTCCTACCCAACTGGATCAGGCAACCTTCCTGTGTGCCCATGACACTCGCTGCATTGTACTGAGATTGCTATTTAATTGCTTCTCTTCCCTTCTAGACTCATAGTAAGAAATCTATTTTATCTGAAGACCCAGGTCACACATATATTATGCAAATATATGTAACTGAGAAAGAAAAAGGTGTATGAAACTTTTTTGTAAAATCCTATTCTAATTCATTTAAAACAACAAAAAAAATTAAACGTGGGGATAAGCTTTAGACACAGCAATTAAGAGAGTGCTTAGGACACCGGCATCCCATATCAGAGTACCTAGGTTGGAGTCCTGGCTCTGCTTCCAATTCCAACTTCCAGCAGGTAATGGTTCAAGTACTTGGTTCCTGCCACCTATGTGGGAGACCCAGTTTGAGTCCCTAGCTCCTAAATTTAGTCTGGCCCAGCTTTGGCTGTTGTAGGCATTTAGGAAATGAATCAATACATAGAAGATTCTCTCTCTCTCTCTCTCTCTCTGTCTCTCTCCCTTTCAAATAAAATGAAAATAAATAAAAACTTAAAAGATAAATAAAATGAAATCTGGTCATACTTCACTACATTGACTTTATAACCCTTAAATAGGTCAGGGCTCCCCGTGAAAAAACACTCTAAATTTCATGTAGTGATGGGCCATTTCCCTCTTGTTCATAGTAACTGCAATGGAATAGAAGCTTAGTAGATATTTCTTGCTGGAATTAATTATATCTAACTCATCTAATCTTCAAGAACCCTGTACAGAAATCATTTTTATCTCCATTTACAGGTAAGAAGGCTGAGAACAGTGGGGTTAAGAAATTTGCCAAATGTCTGAAAACTGGGAGGGTAGGAGGTGGCAGAGCAGGAATTTGAACCTGGGTAGTTTGGACTCAGAATTCTTATTCTTAGTCACTCAGTTAAGTGACTAAGTGGCTCAGTAACTCCTGGTCTTGCCGCACATAGATGGGTTGCCAAGCAAAAATGTCACGGAGGGTCTGCTTACAGCAGCCTCAGACAAGACGTCAGTCTCCTGCACCACATAGGCTCCGTGTGTGTTATCTGTGCCTATACAGAAGAGAAGGCAGCTGGCAAGAGCAGCTGTTCTCCTTTGCTCACATGTGCTGGACT